AGGGTTTTAGGACTCAATACTGCGCCACTCTATTCCCGAATTCCCATAAAGGTAATCAAAAGAAGAAGCCAAGCTAGTGTCCTGTGTAATCTCCTACATGTGTCTTTTTCCAGCTGCTTCCTTCCCTGCTCCTCTGTGATCTCCATATGGTACTCATTGCTTCAGTGATAGCACTTGATACAAAAGGGAAATGCCTTTATGTTAGCTGAATCTGATCTTGTATCTACACACCCTTTCTCTGTTCCCTGTGTTTACAGCAGGTTGTAGTCTGGACAAGGGGAGCTATAGTGCTGTTTGGAAGATGTATGGAGGCATTTGAACCCCCCCCTCCTCAAACCCATTCGTCTTAAACAGTCAAGTCTCAGTATGGCCAGTCACCTTCCCTCATAAGCTGGGTGGAATACAAAGCAAGTTTTAGACAACAGGAGGAATAGGAGAGTGTGTGTGTGTGTGTGCATGCACGCTTGGCCTCGTATATTAAATGGTCTTTCAAAGAGTCCTTGAGCTTACCTGCCAAAACCAGACCCAGCAATATACAAGGAGTTATAAAACCTGCCAGCAGTGTGTGTGTTGGAGTGTGTGTATGTGTGTGTCCACCCCAATGTCAGCCAAGATACTAACAGAGCTTTTATTTTAAGGCTTGGTACGCTGCCATCTCCTACCCCTCAAAGTCTTACCAACAGGACGGATAAGTAAATGGAGTTTTGAGAGCGAGACAAAGATAGCAGGAGGAAGAGAATTTCATTAGTTCAATTTGAGGATTTCACGCAGCACACATGGAGTTAGAGAGGAAAACGGATACAAGGCTCAAGACTGCAAGCTAATTACTCTAGCATTCGTGCACCAGGAGTACAAATACTCTCTTGATGTTTATAGTTTGTATTATTAAGTTGTCATTTAAATGTAGTTGAGTAAAAAGTACAATATTTGCTACAGAATTGTACTAAGTATAAAAGTATTATGTAGCAGGAAATGGAAATACTTTAAGGGGCTCTGTTATGCTTTTTGGGGTTTTCCCTTTGCTGTTTTGTGTTATATTGTTTTTTGTGAACGCAAATGGTCTGCAAAGTCTAAATCCCAAAGTTCCCAGAGAGAGTTCTTCTCATAGACACTACACTCCCATGTTAGTAGCACCAGTGCTAGAAAAGTTAGTCTGAATCCCTGATGACACAGCCCTTTTAAAAAACATGATTTGGCAAAAAGCAGAAATGCCCAATGCATAACCCTATTACATGCTCAGAGATTCCCGTTCCCATCTCATATCCTCCCCCTGCCCCATCCCATCCCTTAAGCAATGTCAGAGTTGTGGAAGTGGTGATAGCCAATCACAGGGGGGGGAAAGGGGCTGGAATGTGGAGGGACAGCACGTTGCAGATTACATGAATACAAAGAGGATACGGATTGAGGAAGTTGTCGTGTTATGTGCAGCAATAAGTCACTGATTACCATTTCCCTACTGTTACTCTGCTTTAACATATTGTTGTTGTACACCTTTTGCATACTCTTTCTACAGCTTTCTCTTATCATGTTTCTTTATGTGCTTATCCGCTCTATTTCTCCTATTGGCAAGTTTTCTCTCACAGTTCTTTCTCTTCAGACAAGAGGGTCCATTGTATTTCCTAAGATGCCTTGGAGTTCCAGGCCCAGCATGCCTGTGCACTGTCTGTGTGTGTGTGTATGTGTATGTGTATGTGTATGTGTATGTGTATGTGTATGTGTGTGTGTGTGTGTGTGTGTGTGTGTGTGTGTGTGTGTGTGTGTGTGTGTGTGGTGTGTGTGTGTGTGTGTGTGTGTGTGTGTGTGTCCTAGTTAGAGAACAGCTGTCACATTCAGCCATCACATGCTGCACAGCTGAGACTGATCATCAACTTTCTATATCCATCTTGGTCTCTCTTTCCGGCTTTTATAAATAAATTTGCCGGGGCATTTCCCCTTTTTGAATCAAGATTTCTAAAATGCTCGCCACACACAAAATCTCTCCCTTTTCCGTCATTCTTCTTCCTTCCCACTTCATCCTTTTTGTCCAGACAGAGTAGGAGTAAAGGTCTCGGGCCAACTCCTCAACACATGGATTAAACCACAACTGACAAGTGAGGATCAGATTTAATTTTAGATTTCAGTATGTGAATAAACTGTAGAGTAGGTGTAATGTAGACTCAACACAATCCAACATAGTGTGGGTTTGTGTCACAGATACAGGCTGCTTTGAACCAAACAAAACAACACTTTTACGTGTAGTGTCATTTTATATGTTGATCTAAGTCCTTCCTTACCCGTTCTTTATTTTAGAAAGTACACTATACAGCATGTATAGCTGTTTTGAGAGAAAACAAATGTTCCCCTCGGACTCCAGAGAAACATTCACCTTCCCTGCTCCAGACCACCAGTTAGTTCCTAAATTCAGAGTCTCTCCTATCAAATGATTAGTGGTAAGGCTGAAGATTAGCAGTCCCATCAACCGACAACAGCAAGACATCTTTAAAGGTAGGGTAGGTAAGTTTGAGAAACCGGCTCGAGATCGCTAGAATTTGAAAATACACAACCGGAGAAAATCTGCCACTTCCTTACAGAGCCCCTCCTCCAACACACACAAACGCGCACATGACCAATGAGGGCACAAGATAAGTTTGTGCACAGATGGAAGGCTGACAGGCAGGTAGGCCATCCAGTTATTTTAGCCGGGCCGGCTAAAATGATTGGTCGTGCTTTTACAGTACTACGGCTTCCACAGATGACATTTTTTTATGGATTTTTTGTCAAAGCACTTAAGATATTCATTGCTATCGGGATGTTAAGAGCATTCCATGGAATATAACAAAAAGTGTATCTCGAGCCGGTTTCTCAAACTTACCTACCCTACCTTTAAGTCATCAAGTGCAAATTGCAGCTAATACAAGCTTATGTTATTTGCCATACTTGTCAGAATAAAAGTGATTTCAATCTCAGATATTAATGCAAACACTTTATGTTGCTTTTAAATCACATTTAAATCATCGTAAATTGTCAGAATAAAAGCAACAGGTGCTTATTACATTTCTCCACTGAGGCAACACAACAACATTGTGCTGTTTCTAACAGCACAATCCAAAGATAAGCCTTTGCGGACCATTTACATGCAAAAGAAACAACAATATAACACACTACAGTAAAGGGAAAACCCCAAAAAGCATAATAGGGCCCCTTGAAGACAATCAACAATAGGGCTGCTCAATTAATCGTATTTTAATCGCAATTACGATTTTGGCTTGCAACGATTATGAAAACAACATAATCGAAATAAAACGATTATTGATTTTTTTTTTTTTTTTTTTTTAATTGGTTTTTCAGTTGAATTATACTTAAAGTTCTGAGTAATCAACTGTTAAAAACATACTGTTTTTTTTTCAATAAATGGATGTTTTCAAAGTAAATGGATAATCGTTTTTAATAATTGTGATATCAATTATTGACCCAAATAATCGAGATTATGATTTTTCCCAAAATCAAGCAGCCCTAATCAACAGTGTTCTGTACCTGATGTATTGCTGTTCTCTCTATTTTACCCATGTTGTGTAATAAGTTTGTTATTATAAACATAGCCATCCAGTAAAGAACTGACAGGTGGAAACAATATCGGTTGTTGGCGTTCAGTTCAAGAATATCCTATTTGGTAGGTTGGCAAGTCTTTCTAATCCATCAGCCTTAATTTACTTTTGTTGGAACAGCAGCCATTAATAAAGTTGACGCACTTTACCTTCAGAGATCTATGGAGCATTCCAGATGTGTCAACATGTGTTGTTACTATTTCAGTTGGCACACACAAACACACACATTTAGCAACAAGCGATTAGGAATTTCTCATCAGTCCACACATTGTGTAAACCCTCCATCTCTTGTCAGCGACACACACACACACACACACACACACACACACACACACACACACACACACACACACACACACACACACACACACACACACACACACACACACACACACACACACACACACACACACACACACACACACACACACAATGTTGTAACCTGGCTAACAAGCAGACCCCCCTGGTCAATGAGTTTGGAAATGCATGGTCACCTCTAATGACCGGGTGGTTTCTCCGTCTGTCGGTGTGTGTCTGTCTGTCTCTCTTTGGCAAACAACAAACAAAAGTTCCACCATTAATCACCTTTCAATACTCTTAAACAGTCAAGTTTTCTAGATAACAGCTGGACTGGTGAAAGAAAAATGGCAAAAAGACTGGTGAAAGAAAAATGGCAAAAAGTGCTGGTTCAAGTTCAAACTTGTTACTATGGCACACTTTGGCGTCTAATTACGCGCCTAAATAATGCTAAAACATGTGTTCCTTATGGTTAAGAGGTGCAAGGTAATATTCTAAGTACTTAACTTTAGAATGGCTACTAAGGTGGTGATCAGTTTTTCTATAGCATAGGTTTTTTCTAGCACAGCAAATATGAAAGGGGGGTCCAAAGAACTGTTTTTGAGAATGGTGTGATGGGGGTGCCCAGAATTTAAAAAATAATCTTACCTAAAACATGTTCCATTAAAGAGGTGGATATTATAGATGTGAATGTCCCTTACAGACAGATTTGTGAAAGCCTTGTGATGTAAATGAATGCAAAAAAAAAAAAAAGACTGCACACCTGCCAATCAATATGTTTTCCTCACCAAGTGAACTTTACGGGAAAATATGCATTTAGTTAGAGCATTATTACAATAATATAATTAATACTAGTATCATCAACCAGCTGTTGTGCACTGGGTGGTCCTGCATCATTGTTGATGACTTGCTCATGTCTGAAGCTGTTACACTGGTTTATATTAGTGGATTTAAATAAGAAACTAAATTACATTAATAGGCCTAACACTAGACTGTATACAACACTTTAGTGACTGCTTATAGCAAAAGTAAGAACCAGCATCATGGTTTCCTCGCAGTTAGTAAGCATAGAGCATTAGTCAGTCAGTATAGTCACTAATAACGCTGCTGTGTATTTACCTCTGAGTTGAAGGCGCTGTCACCCTCCGCTGCTCCACGCGCCACGAGCGCGCACAGCCCCATCGCGAGGAAGGTGCGTCTCCAGAGCAACCAGAAGCAGCTGTTCGGCGAGGAGGAGGCCATGGTCCGGGCGCGAGGGGAATCAGTAGTGGTTCAATCCCAGAGGATAAACTAGGGTGTCTTTGAAAGGTTGTTACAGTAGCCTACTGATACAATGGTTGTAAACTATTCCCAAGTGACAATTATACGACGGTCTTCAACTGTGCACTTGTATCCTGGAAAAGAGCCCCATTTCAGTCTTACAGCCAGAGCCGCACTACAAACTGACCCTCAATAAATGTCGGCGACTTGTCATATGTGAACCTCCATGCAGGTTTCTCCTTTAAGTTGTTTTAACAGCGTTAACAGTCCGTCTCACCTTTCTTTGACTACTGTGCTCTGTTATCTCTAGCGGGAGTTACCCACTAGAGCGCCCGACTCATTTAATTAACATCAAAGTCGCTGCCCTGTTAGTAACCTTGAAAGTGCACTTCAAAAGAGCAACAATGTCTCCAGCAGTGCCCACTATCAGCAAAGTGGGCATAACCCATAAATGCTTTTGAGTAAATAATGTACTGCTGACATGTTCAAATACAGTGGGTAAATGAACTCATGTCGTGTTAATGCCTATTCGGGTGCATTCAAATGTACCCTGAGAAAGTTTAGAAATCTGAAACAGCGACAAAATGAAAGTTCACCGCACTTGACTCCTTCAGCAGCAGCTCGAGCAGTGTCGTAGCTGTAAGCGGCAACGGCAGTTATAGCTCGCGACCTCTTGTAAAAAAAAGAGCCCTCTACGTCCAGTTGTTCCCTTTTGCCAGAGGAAACCGTCTCGGAAGCCGATACTTAGTTGCTATCAGTCTTATCCTGATTCCGTGGCTGTGTTGTGTTCCTACCGGAGCAGCACGGACAGTGGTCCTCTGTTGGTGGGGTTTCAGTACCTAACGTGGAGATGAGAGCGTCAAGCGTGGCAGCACATCAGCGAGGTGTCCCTGTCATGGCTGCCAAAATAAAAGGTACGCAGTCTGAATCATTCTGTCGTCTCTGACGGTTTTGAAAGTAGAAGAAACAGGGAATACTGTATAATAAAGAAAGTTATTTTCTCCATGCAGAATGTGACGTTTTTCCTTCTCAATTATATTGGCCTTTTAACAGTTAAACAAATGTAAATGTTTGAGGGAGCTCACGTAACAAGAAGCATAATGAGTCAGGAATAATGTTTGTTTTTATTAACTATTAAAGTTTCCTGCCAGGTTTATTTTAGTTGTCTCTTATTTTGAAGGCACATCATTTCCGGTTTTGTCCTATTTTCCAGTGGCTGACTTGATGGAGCTGACCACTACAATGCTTCACAACCGGACGGATGCAGGTGGAAGTGGGGAGGGAGCGGAGGAAGAGCCCGAGACGGACGCCAGCAACCATGAGCCTCCCCCCAATGTGTGTAGAGCTCACACACGTACAAATACTGAATGTAACAGGTACATGTACTGATAAGCTATGAGATTTGAAGTCACCATTAAGAGATAAACATAATAAAAGGGTTATTAACCTTATTCATTAACTGATATGACTTTGACTATTTTGACTACTTTGACTTTGTCTTACTGTTTGTTTCACTCAATTTTGAAACGATTTTGCCATACAATAAGTTTTGACAGGATCATTTGTCAAAGTGACTTTTTTTCATCTGTGAAAACAGATGATTTAAAGTTATTCATAATTACTTTACATGCTTTACATATATGTTTAAGAACACATGGATACATTGCTTAGTAGTGCAGTGCAGCCTCTTGTGGCCAAAATGAGTATGAAAAGTAAATAAAGACATAAGCTTAATAGTAAGATGCATAAAGACGTAGATGCTAAACAAAGTTGTTTTGTTAAGTCTCACATATAATTAAAAAAGAACAACTTGAATCGGTAACTGTTTGCATTTGTCAATGCTGTCTTGCCTTTTGCAATTCACTATGCACTTACCCCTGCTTGGTATTGCAGGGAAATATGTCTAAAAGGCTAATTGAATTTTGGCCTGAGGTCAATACGGGAGGTGTCACAGTTTACTGAATACACACAAAGGTTGTTGGTAAGCCTCTTTTTTTGAGCTTCAGATCATTTAATACATTGAAATGTTACTCAGCAATTGTTATCCGTTTTACTTTTGACAAATGGAAACAACACGTGACATTTTCAAGCAATCCAACTTGTTTGGAGAAAAAATAGTGGTAATAATTCGACTTCTTGGAAATCCCCATTGTATAATTTGTGTGACTTTTGCTGACAACTAAAAAGGCAAATGTACTTACAAATAAAGGGGATGTTTTATCACTTAGGGTTTTCCAGTTACTCATAAGGATCAGCACCTGCTTTATGTGAGTCACTCTGCTTCAATGGTCTCTTTGTATGATGTTTGTCTCAGGTAGGTTTGAACCCCAGAGGCTAACATCAGTCAACACCTGCCCACACACCAGTGATCTCAACAGTCTTGGCATCAACCTACCCAAAATAGAAAAACAATCCCTCGCTAACAGAGCCCACCCGGATAGATTTTTGAAAACGTTATTGTTTTCCTTTGTTGGTAAACACTGACTACATTAATCTAACAAATATGAACCGGAATATCCTTTAATAGGCGTTCCTCAGCTACTGTAAACTAATTCAGTAATGCAGAAACAACTAAATGACTATACCTATATCCAACAATACTAGTCAAACCTATCTTCTGCATTTTGCCACAAATTCTCATCCAGATGTCTACTTGCCTTGTTTCCTTTCCCTTTTCCACCTGTCATTATGAGGATAACCACTTCATCCAATCATGTCCTTGCCTCTTCAGCTAGCAAGCTCATTAATGGCATGACTATATAGCAAGTTAGCACCTGCTAGCTAGAGCAACAATAAAGCCAAATTGTTTTATAAATAAATTAACTAGCTTGCCAAAAATAAAAACGTATTTTTGAATTAGGAATGACACCCATATCTCTTTTACAGCCTTTAGTATGTTGATGTAATGTTATGCGTCAACTATATTTAATTAACGCAGAAAAAGGTCACTTTTCCCTCTAGTGTTTCATAGTGGTATTATGTTGACACACTGTTAGATCGCTTTATGTTTTCCTCAGCTACCAACAACAAAGGCTACAATTTGTTTCTTTTTTAACTGTGCAACTTCTACTTCTTGTAAACATTTCCACAGGCTTCTTCTAGCAGCCTTACTAACGGTGGCTGTCCAAAGCAAGAACATTAGGGCTGGAAACGTAGTGGTCTGACAAAGGCAGAGTTAATACCCTGTACAAAAATAATGTAAGGATGCATCGCTTGCTTTCCACTTTAAACAGCTTGTCTCACTAGATTTTTCTTTAAACGCTCTACTCCCCTCTGTTGGTGGTAGTTGTGACGTGCAGCCATAAACCAAGTGACGTGTTGCATATTGACCAATGTTGTACTGTTTAGGATCAACCAGCTTCTAATCAAAACTGTGAGTTAGGGCCTAATGTGTGTACAGAATGTAAGACAAGTGTTCAATGCTAAGTACTATCTTCCCTCAATTATCTAATGTAAGCCCATATTTGGAGGTAACAGAAGTAAGTGACACAATAGGTGTTTTTTGCATTGGTTTGTGGCTGCTTCCTCTTTAATATAGAATACCATTTACATGTTGTTATGTTTTTTTTGTTGCTTTACTTCCCATAAAGCCCCAACATTTAGCTTTCCTCACTTGCTTTTGTCCTGTAGTCACATCAGCTGTACTCTGAATATCCTTACGGCAAAATCATTTCTACACTGATCCAGCAACATGAAAAGGTAGGCTTTGTTTTGATACTCTTACTTCAGAACCACAACATTTAGCTTTTTGTGCTGATAAAAGTCTTAATGATTTTTGGAACTTCCCTCTTTGCCTTTGTAAGGCTCAAGTAAAGGAAATCACAGAGGTCAATATTTAGTCAGAATCAGAATACCTTTATCCGTCCTACAGAGGGGACATTTTAATTGTTACAGCAAAAGTGAAGATAGAGACAAAAAAATATCAACATCAATCAAGATCAAATAAAAAGGCAATTTTAAAAGTTACTAAAATGGTCAAGTTACATTCAAAGTACATTCTACTAACTTACAAATTGCACATACGTGTTATTGCACAACAGTATTTGTCGTAGTCTTATTTGTAATATTATTGCACTTTGGTATAATTACTATACAGTGGTGTCTTAGTCTTAAGTTGTGTGAGTGTGGGGGACTATTCTACTGAATGACTATTCATTTGTCGTTCATTTATGACGTGTGTTTTTGAAAAGCCCAGACAGGTTGTTGTTCTAAATGAATCCTCTTCCTTTCACAGAATGAAGAGTTGGTTCCTCTGTTGGCTGGTCTTGTCTTTGCTATCTCAAAACATCCAAATGCGTTTTACAGATAATGGTTCAGATGAGGGTTCCAATACAGGTTCAGATGAGGGTTCCAATAAAAGTTCCAATAAAGGTTCAGTTAAGGGTTCCAATACAGGTTCAGATGAGGGTTCCAATAAGGGTTCAGATGAGGGTTCCAATACAGGTTCAGATGAGGGTTCCAATAAAGGTTCAGTTGAGAGTTCCAATAAAGGTTCAGTTGAGGGTTCCAATAAAAGTTCCAATACAGGTTCAGATGAGGGTTCCAATAAAGGTTCAGATGAGGGTTCCAATAAAGGTTCAGTTGAGGGTTCCAATACAGGTTCAGATGAGGGTTCAGATGAGGGTTCCAATACAGGTTCAGATGAGGGTTCCAATAATGGTTCCAATAAAGGTTCAGTTGAGGGTTCCAATAAAGGTTCAGTTGAGGGTTCCAATAAAGGTTCAGTTGAGGGTTCCAATAAAAGTTCCAATACAGGTTCAGATAAGGGTTCCAATAAAGGTTCAGATGAGGGTTCCAATACAGGCTCAGATGAGGGTTCCAATAAAGGTTCCAATACAGGTTCAGATGAGAGTTCCAATACAGGTTCAGATGAGGGTTCCAATAAAGGTTCCAATACAGGTTCAGATGAGGGTTCCAATAAAGGTTCAGTTGAGGGTTCCAATACAAGTTCAGATGAGGGTTCCAATAAAGGTTCAGTTGAGGGTTCCAATAAAGGTTCAGTTGAGGGTTCCAATAAAAGTTCCAATACAGGTTCAGATGAGGGTTCCAATAAAGGTTCAGATGAGGGTTCCAATAAAGGTTCCAATACAGGTTCAGATGAGGGTTCCAATAAAGGTTCCAATACAGGTTCAGATGAGGGTTCCAATAAAGGTTCCAATACAGGTTCAGATGAGGGTTCCAATAATGGTTCCAATAAAGGTTCAGTTGAGGGTTCCAATACAAGTTCAGATGAGGGTTCCAATAAAGGTTCAGTTGAGGGTTCCAATAAAAGTTCCAATAAAAGTTCAGTTGATGGTTCCAATAAAAGTTCCAATAAAGGTTCAGTTGAGGGTTCCAATAAAAGTTCCAATAAAGGTTCAGTTGAGGGTTCCAATAAAGGTTCAGTTGAGGGTTCCAATAAAAGTTCCAATAAAGGTTCAGTTGAGGGTTCCAATAAAAGTTCAGTTGAGGGTTCCAATAAAGGTTCAGTTGAGGGTTCCAATAAAGGTTCAGTTGAGGGTTCCAATAAAAGTTCCAATAAAGTTTCAGTTGAGGGTTCCAATAAAGGTTCCAATCAAGGTTCACTTCGGCGTCATGAATGCAACACTTCCAAAACAATACAAAGTAAGATACTCAAATATTTATTTTATTTTAAATACACTTCTTGAGAATATTATTATATTTCAATAAATCATTTTTTACTCGACAGGATATCCAGAAACCGTGGAAGGCATTATGGAACACAGACACCACAGCAACCCTATCGAGTAAACATCTCAATCTATTTATATTTAAACGTTTTATATTTGTTGAGGGGTTATGTTTGTGTTTGCATCTGAGTAGAGTGATATGTACACAACTAATAGTTCACCAGATTTGATTTAAGGAAAGAAGTTGTAAATTCAGAATGCTATTTAAAATAGTTTGTCCTTTAATTTCAACAAGAGCCATTGAGACCCTTGAACGGCTTCTGGAGGAAACAGAGGTGAATGAGTCTATATCACTGTCTTTCAACAATTCCGTGGCCTTCCTGTACAAACCAAAGGTCCCCTTCAATGGCCTTGAAATTCATGCTAGTGATAAAAAGGTAAGTAATAGTATTAGGGTATGGCATAGCAATGTCTGAAATGAATGGAGAAATGTTGAAGGCACATCCATGTTCCCTTGATCCAACTGTTATCACTTTTGTGATCCCTGACTTTTCTACCAGCAGCTTTACTCCCATCATAAGTCATGATTAGCAAATGTTAGTATGGTTAGATGAAAACTAAACACAAACATATAATCATTTTAAAACCAACTTCAAAGATCACATTATGCCAACATTAGCATTTTGCTCAATGCTCAAATGAGCTGCTAGCATGGTTGAATGGGCCCTTTTTCTTCTTGAATACTTCTTATTTAATTTGACTAAGGACCTACTCTAAGTCTTAATATTCCTGGACACATCTAATTATAAAACCCTCAATTCACGACAGCTGCTCCTGATAGTTGGGTAGTCGACCATTCTGTGAAACTACTCTTCGATACAAATGTCTGCTGAGAGTTCTGTTATTATGTTACAGGTATTTAAAATGTAAGGTCTCCGTTCTTCACTCTGTGCCTCTGATATAGGTAAGGTCAAGCAATTCTGTCAGCGATAGTGACAAAGTGAGCGTTCAACTGCCGAGAGAGCTGGATGCTGGATCAGAAAACACCATTGTGTTCTGCATGCTTACATGGCCTGATGCAAACTGGGTGAGAGACATTACTTTTATGTCAAATCTTGTAATAAACAATCGGAATATCTATGGTCCAATTTTATATTAGTCACTTTGTATTGTATTTAAATGTTGTATTAAAGTTTAGCATGTTTAAGCCCCTTTAAGGTTTAAAAAAAATACTGCTAAGTAGAACGACACTTTAAATCACATTTTAAACTCCCAGTTCAAACCATAAACCTAAATAATTCATGTTTTTCTTTTTGCAAGTTTTTTTGTCAGTAACATTTTAGTGATGTCATGTTACATTTCTTGGAAATAAATAACATTGATTGTGTTGCCAGTAAGAGCTTCCCTAAACCTGCTGCATGATTTAGGAAGTGGATTGGGTGTGGTTCACAGGAGTGAGTAAGGTTTGAGCGCAGTAGATTAAAAGAGTAACACTATGAGATTTTGAAAATCTGCATGTGTTGCTGGCATGTGGTCATTTTCCAAACTAAATGCCCTAATATTCATGTATTTGTATCAAACAGTTATCAGCCAGTAGAGTGTACTTCAAACCACATTCACCCTTTGATCTTAACCTTTTTTGTATTCCTGTTCCTATGTTATTACATTTAGATTCTATAGCTTACACAAACAACAAGAGCAGCTACTTTTGTATATAAAAAGGAAAACTATTGTAATTATTTTTCCCATAAACTCTAAATGTGTTTATTCTTCTTCTTTTTTTTTCTAACCCCCAAAAAGTCTCCCACGGTCACCTTTTTTGTTACAAATGCTCAACAACAGAAATGCTTCACAAAGAGGAAGTGATGTTCGTTTCTGACAACATACAATATCCTCAAATGTTATGGTACAGAGTTGTTGCTCTTTTGCTTTCCACCATTGCCACCTGCTGTAACATGCACAACATTATGGCTGAAAGCAGAATTGAATGGGTCCTATCCCCCCCTACGGGTGGCGGGATAATTGTGGGACGTAGGTTGACGCAGTAGTGTTTTTGCCCTGACCGTTGGAAACTGGACCAATTGAGTAGACATTACTTGTGGAATTTTTTGTCTATCTAAATTACTTTACCTGCCTGTCAAAAATAACAGTGAGGGATGGTTTGTTCAAGTTTAAAAGGGGGGCTATTGAGCCACCCAAACACAATAACCATATCAGTTACCTACGTTTAACATTGTTAATCCGTGTGCCAAGTTTTGTGCGTCTAAATACCCAGCCCTAAAGAACGATGTTCTGTTTCATGGCGAATATTTATCACCTTGTGAAAAGAGTTCCACTGAAGCGTACAAGCTTTGCAGTCTAGCAATGGGAAGGTCATGAAATTAAGCTGACCAAATATGAAGGTGATCCATTAACCTGCTGATAGCTGTAAGCCAAAGTAGAGCAACAATAACTCCCTGTTGAGACTAGGTTGTACTATGACTATCATTAAAAATGTGCTTGTAGATGTCTTCAGGCCGGGACCTTCTTTGCTCATGGTGAAGGATGCAGATGCAAAAGTTTATCTATAGAGCTTCCCCCATGTCTTGAGGCATTTTTCGCAACATTTCAGAGAGTTTAGAAAAGTATGGGAGGACGAGAAAGTAAAAGTACAAATCTCCTTATTTCCTCTTAGCAGTAGGGAGCGGTATGTTGATTAAAAATCGCAATAAAATGTAGAATGGCCGACTTCCTGTTGGTTTTACGGTCTTTCTCCAATGTCTGTTTTTGTCTTTTCCGTGAGTTACGTATACCCAGCAAATGTCATACATGTAGGACATTTCGCATTCCAGGTTGGGTCATTTTGCCATGCCAATGATTTATGTTCCTTTTCTCTAGGTTTTCATTTTTTGGCAAAAACAAAATTGTGTTTGTGTAATTGTGTAATGTTTCAGCCCTCAAATCTGTGATTCCTTTGCCAGAAGAAATACTGTATACTAATTACCCTTTTATGATTTCAATGGGTTCTTTGAAATCGGTGCTCGCAACCTAATAGTTAGTTAAATATAGTTGTATGAAGAAGAGTGGGCACACCCAAACTGATATTATGAAGCAGTGTGACTTTTACTTTAAACACAGTAAAGGAACTTCAGGAAAGTGATGTCACTTTACTTGTCTAAACTGTTAAACTAATACCTTATTTGATGCTGTGTAGACCATACGTGAAGCCTCGGCTGAATTACATGAGAGCAGACTGGTTGGCCTGAGTGTGCGGGGAAAGAATATCTCAGGACTTCAGGAGCGTGTCAACATCACGTTGGCTGTTAGTGTGAATGTAACTACAACTTCTCTCCTCAAATATTTTACTTAAGTTAGTTAAGTAGATAGGAACACACACACGAACAAACAATAGTGTAAACGTTTTCTTGTGTTGTGTCACAGGATACGCAAAAGCCCAGCTGTGTGTTCTTAAATGTTTTCACAAAAGGTGAGTGTGAAAAACAAAGACAAGTGTTTTATTTAATTTTTATAATGAATATGAAAAGTTTACACATGACCAACAAAGTGGGTTTTAATTCCCATGTGTCAGGATCTCTCATATAATGGATCTGTCTGTCTACGTTTGTTTGACCTGGCAGACTTTAGCACTGATGGCTGTCTGACCCTGTGGGAACCTGGTCAGAGAAACATCATCTGCTCCTGTGACCACCTCACATACTTTGGCGTGCTCGTGGTAGGCTTGTCCTTGTCATCATGCAAAGAAAGCAGTGTACTGTATGTAAATATAGTGGATAGTCGACATACATGATATTTTGGTTTAGGGTAGGGTCTAGTTTAATCAGTAACAATGTTTGTAATGTTGTCCTTTCTCCTCAGGTATCTTCTGCCTCCCTCTCACAAAACGACCTGCAGATTCTGACATACATCACTCTGATTGGTTGTAGTCTTTCTCTGTTTGCCCTGATCATCACTGTTCTGCTCTTCATCGCAAAAAGGTACAAAAAAGAAATGTCTTCCCATGTTGATGATATTTGTCTTTCATCCCTCTTTACCTTGCAATCCACCATCTAACATAACGCTCAGATCCAGCAGCATGCTTCTGTCTTTGCTTCCATCATTTATTCTGCTCCTGAGCTCCCTTTTTCCTCCCTTGTATGACAACTTCTAGCTGTTGTTTCTTAAAGGTCCCATCATATGCTTTTCTGGTTATTACCCGTCCCCTTGTGTGTTATGTAGCTTTTTCTGCATGTAAACCTTCTGCAGAGTCACAAACCCTCAAAGTACACCCTGTAGCGAGTAAAACTCTAACACAGAAAAGACGTGTCTATGCTGCCCCAGAACGCCTTGTTGGAAATTTGACTTTTTCCATTTCTTTCTTGCGGGGCAGGTTGACGTCACTAAGTCCAAATGGACCAATTGGTCCGCGGAGCTCCGCACACACACACACTCACTCAGCCTTATCTTTTCTCAGCCGCGGTGCTCAGACCCCACGCAGCAACCAGGAAACTACACCAGTAATCCACCTCACACTGTCGGCTCCTCGAGCCCCAAAGGGCGGAGCAGCGAGCCCCGCAACGTCCCGCCAACACGGCACCCAGACCCAACGCAGCATTCTCATCTGTTTGTCATTACTGGTGTCATTTCCTGGTTGCTAACAAACGCCATTGTAACACATAACCACTGATGTTCCGCTGTAACGGTGGTTGACTGATCAGAACAGAGAGGGCGAGCTGACCAATCAGCTGGAACATTGAACAATGTAAATCTATTCTAGTAGACCTCAACAATGGAATTATGATTAGTAGAAATGGCCAAGACATGGGCCCTTTAACTTGTACATTTGAGCCTTATTTGTTAATTACTTTTAAAATGCAATGTTCTTTTCTCACTCCTTTATTATCATATTTTGTCCCTTTTCTTCCCATATATGTCATGAAATCCTTTAACAAAATAAAAATGTAACACTTACCACAGATCAATTCTCCTTCAGAAAAGTCCGAGCAGATATCTCTATGAAGGTCCACATCAACCTGGCCATTGCCCTGATCCTCCTCAACCTACACTTCCTCCCCAGCCAGACGGTGGCAGCATTGTCCTTCCCCACGCTCTGCTTCTACATGGCCGTCTCTCTTCACTACTCCCTGCTGGCCACTTTCAGCTGGATGGCCCTGGAGGGCTTACACCTCTACCTTCTCTTAGTCAGAGTCTTCAACATTTATATCCGGAAATACTTGCTCAAGCTCAGCTTGGTGGGATGGGGTGAGTAGAGTTGCAAAGGCCAGGTATCAACAGGTGGCAACATCTGATTCTGCTTTTATTTTGTTTCCTGTTTTATTTTGAAACGTATTTTGTCATTGTGTCTTGTTTTTACTTCCTGTCTCTGTGTTTACTCTCTCTGTATTATTCTCACCTGCTATCCCTTGTGTTTGCATGCCCTCCCCAGCTGTGTCTTGTCTTTGTGATTAGTCTTGTGAGTATATATGCCTGTCTTCCCTTGTGTTCTCTGACAGTTTGTCATCAATGTTTCCCAGGTTCGGTTCAGTCTATCACAGTTCCTGGTTTCCTGTCTGTATTCTGTATTTTCCTCCCTCCTGTGTCTTGCTGGTTTGTTACTCATTTTTGTTTTGCTAAGTTTCCTTTGGTTTTACCTTGCCTGCTCTTTCATTTTTATGTAACTGTTTTGTGCCAGCATATTTAATATAGTTTGCTTATTTTGTATACATCTGATCTATACCTGCCTCCCATCCCCCGATTTTGCATTTAGCTTCTGATATCCTCACCCTTGTCACAATTTCATTCTTCACAATTACCCTGTGGATAAATAAAGTATTCGTATTTGATGATTCTGATAAAATTGTTATATGCACCAGAGTTATACATCATACTTTGTTTAAATAATTATTTAAATAATATTATTTCAAGTATAATACTTTAAAAACGTTCCAATGTCTTGTCTAATGCTTGCGTTTCAGGTCTCCCTGCAGTCATTGTGGCCCTGGTGGTCATCATCGACAGCAGCTGGTATGGACTCGTCCCTCTGGTCTCTTCTAACCCCAACAGCACACAAATGTAAGGGAGAAGCACATTTGCAAGCATGTACAATTTCAACTAATAGGTAACTAATTGTATTAAGTGTTTTGAATGTGCGTTTAGCATTTCTGTCTATTGGAATGTAATGGGAAAGTTTGCAAAAACACCATTTACAGTGACAGACAGTTATAATGAATGTAAGGAAATAATAGCTTGGATACTGATATGTTCTATTTCCTTAACAGTGGATTCAAGATGTTAAGGCTTGATTGTACAAGTGATTGGCAAGATAAATACAGTGTAGTTGTTGCTTTTACATTCCAGCCTCCTCTCACATAAAATATACTTAGGATGGCGCGTGCACTATATGAGGCTCTGAGTCTCCAGTTTCTGAGAATTAGTAGTTACCTCTTACTAGTTTCAAGTTTTTTTCACACAGCACAGCTGTGTGTATACGTTGTATATCTGACAATAACTCTTGGACCTTAGTTCTCTGTGTAAATTACATTTTTTAAACAACGTTCAGCTATCACCGGAGTAAGCCAGGGCACCAAAGCCCAGGGAACCAGTCTCGCTGACAGGAAGAAAACGGTGGCGACAAGACTGGAAAAAAGGCAAAGCAGGCCCACGGGCTAGGCTATAGGTTAAAGCTAAACCCCCACAAACAACCTCTGCCTAGCATTTAACTTGCCAACATTCAGTCCTTGGCAAATAAACTGGACAAATTACGACTTTAGATAACCTCACACGTTTTGTGTGAGGTTATCTAAAGTCGTTATTCGTACAGTACGTAAATATCAGTTTCCAACCTCACTCTGTCCCACGTGCCTGAAGAGGACAACCATCAGTATTTTATCTTTTTTAAATTATATTATTTTTACCACTGTAAAGTGTCTTTCAGCACCTGATAACGCGCTTGACAAATAAAATGTATTATTACTAAGATGTTATTTATTGTTTTTAGCTCCACATTCAACATATTCATCCCCTACAGTTTATATAGTGTATCAAACGTGGGAATCTTGGCATCAGCACTTCCCTCTGCAACTAGACAGTGGACATCCTGACCAACAGACCCCAGTCTTTGAAGTTAAACAACCTCACTTCTTCTATTCTGACCCTGAACACCGGCGTTCCACGGGGTTGTGTGCTCAGCTCATTCCTCTTTTCCCTTTTCTCCCATGACTGCATTCCTGTGCATAGTTCCAACGCCATTATTAAGTTAACAGATGACACCAATATGGTTGGCCTTATCAGCGACATCTATAAGTTAGCCTACAAGGAGGAATTATTATTATAGTCCAGAATTATTAGTCACCTGAATATATGCTTTTTTTTATCGAAGAGGTTTCGATTTATTAGAGAAAACCTTCATCTATACTCTTTCTTTCTCTTTGCAGATGCTATATAAGGAATACCACAGTGAAGCTGGTGACTACATTGGGAGTGTTTGGCTTGGTTTTCCTCTTTAACGCGATCATGTTGGGGGTGACAGTAAGACGCGTTGTGAGTCTCCACCAGAGCAAAAAGGTAGGACTCAACCTGCACTCTTTGCATTCTACTCTACTTGTCTGTAAATATGCTCTTAAAGGAGGATTCCAGTTAATTCCATAAAGCTTTAGCTGTCGATGTATCCCATCCAAACCAACAACCATTACAGCAGTGCAGTGTTGATGTCCAATCAACGCGCCCAACCGCCCTCTCAGGTCAGCCGATCAACTGCTCCTGAATGTGCCCAGAAACAAGTCAAAGCTCAGAGGGGGCCGTTGCTTCTCTGTAGCGGCTCCCACGCTGTGGAACGATCTGCTCCTGCATATCAGACAGGTCTCCAAACTGTCTGCTTTTAAATCACTTCTTAAAACCCACCTCTTCTCCTTAGCGTGTTGACATCTTTTAGAGTGTTGCTTTTATTGCTTTTAAATTGTCTATTGTTTTTACTTGTACTTGTTTTATGGTGTGTGAGCTGTGCTGTGTGATTGATTTTATGTTTTGTTTATTTGACTGTACAGCACTTTGGTCTGGAGGTTTAAAGTGCTTTATAAATAAAGCTGAATTGTATGTATTTCTGGAGGCCGACCCAGAAGTTAGCATGTAAGGGCTCCCACGCCACAAATACATTTGAATTTTTCCACAGTCGCATGGCTTCCTGTTACCTTCGCTAAGCTAAGAGCAGCTGCTGTTCAACGTGACCACATTTAGTAGTCATTTTAGTCACTTGTTAGCAACCTTAATTTGTATGTAACATAGAAGCATCAGACATTCACCAGTGGGGTATTTACTGACAATATTAACATCCTAGGACAAAATGAAAAAGTCCCTCCAGCTTGTGTTAACCACAGACAAAATGCTGGTAAAATGCTAACTTGTTTTTTAGGTGGAAGACTCATTCCTGCACAATTCTATTGAATCGATGTTCTTACAAACATTGTGTGTACATTTAAAGCCTGACATCATTGAGTCCTCTGTGTCAAAGAGCTACATTGATGTCCAAAAGCTATTATATGTTCCTTTATTACAATTAACACACACACTGTATTTATTTCTGATCATTTGCATGCAACCTAAACATTGTTTTCTCTTTTATACACACCTTCTAGAAGAAAACATGTCATGACTCCTGGGAGCACAGTTTTAAACAAATTAAAGAAAGTAGTATTTTCTTGTGTATTGTACTTAAAAACAGTTATGATTTTCCCTCTACTGAACAATATGAACTTCATGGTACGTACTCTCCGATGTTCTATGACCTGCTGATGTGTCATTTTAAACTTTGTTTTGTGAGTCAGTTTGGGCAGAGTGACAGTAACCGAGTCAAGAAGGACATCTGTACGCTGCTGGGAGTCACCGCTCTGCTGGGCATTACCTGGGGCCTGGTCTTCTTCTCCTTTGGCTACCTGACCACGCCTGGCCTCTACCTCTTCTGCATCCTCAACTCACTGCAAGGTCTGCACCACCTGATCATGTTCAGCTCTATGTGATGACGTTAATATCGGTTGTATATTTCATTGACACTTGTATGCAAAGTTGGTCCTCTTGGTTTTACATTTAGGATGGGGCACAACAGTATGACACTTTCATAAATACAGAAAGCTGATACAAAAGAAAAGTGGTTAAGAGCAGGGACTTTAATACTTGATCCAAGCCAGACCATTCAGGGGCAATTTGGGGCTCTCCTACTGTGAATGTCTAATGGAAACACAACCTCCTTTGCTCTCTCTAACACTTTTCGTGTCACTCCTTCAACGCAGGTTTCTTCATCTTCCTGTGGTTCGTGATGTCTTTGAGAAAGAAAGGAGATCCATCTACTAAGAGTAGTGTAACACGCAGCACCAACACTTAAGCACTACACCAGAGACTTTTTTGTGATTGTGTGCGTACATGTATGTATGTGTGTTGTGCGGATTTATAGAGCAATGCTGTAAAGTTTGATACTATTCTTTTTTTCTTTAAATCATTAATTTTATTTACATGCAAGTAGAAAGGGGTTAACTTGGGCAGATAACTGGTTAAGTGCCCTTTTTTAAAGTTTTTTCATTGTCATACCCTGTTGTTTTAATAAATGAATGTATTGGTGTTTAATTTCATCGTCCATACCTGGCAAAAGCAATTATTTATACTTCAATTCTGTGCAAACATAATTAAACAGGAAAAAACATGCAAACTACTCACAGATAAACTAATCCAGATTTGAACCACAACATGTCTTAGTCTAAGCAGAATAGAAGTCTAGACGATTACGTACATGTCCGGTTTGAGGTTTTGCTACTGTACTGTGCATCAACTACACTTTATTGCTTAGGGTAACTTAAGTTGTAGATATTCATTGTAACATATTTTGACATTACCAATTACCACCCTTAAAGCACACTTGCATAGGATGGTGAAGCAATTTTACTTCCTTTGTTATTTAATTTTTTTTTATTTAATGACCATAGTACAAGCAAAACAGGTGGGTTTTTAGTCTGCGATTGAGGGTTTGTGGAATTTCTCCTGTCCTGATGTAAATGGGGAGCTCGATCCACAATTTTGGTGCCAGGGTCGCAAACATGAATGTATTTGTTGAGCTGTACCTGGTTCTAACTGGCAGTGAAGGGGTGGCAAGCTGATTGGCCAATGCAGAAAGAGGTGCACTTGCTGGAATGTATAGCTTAAACATATTCTGGTTGCAGGTAGAACTGGAACACCAGTACCGCTGTCTTGAAGTGGATCCGGGAAGCTACTGGTAATCAGTGAAGGGAGGAGGGGAGGGATCTGGTGTAGGGTAGGTTGAAAACCAATCGATCCGCTCCAGGAGGGAGTTGCAGTAGTCAAGGCATTAAATGACAAGAACTTGGACCAGGACCTGCGTTGCCGTCTGGGTCAGTAGAGGACTAGTCTCCTGATGTTGTACAGTTGGTCGTCCAGTACAACACATTCTTCTCACTCCCAACTCGTCCTATAGTAACGTTATGTCAGGATCTCTTGGCGTCACTATCAAACGCAGTTTCAACTATCAGGGAGTCCCATTGACTTGCATAGAGCTCCCTGAACGTTGGTAATAGACGAGTTGGGATCGCAAAGAAATGCTCTCCGCAGAGCCATTCTCACAGCGTTTATCAAACTTTGTTTTAACACAATATCAAGCCACACTTATTGTTTTTACTTCTTTATTTTAATTCTATAATGTCGGACTTTTGTTGCCGTTGTTAGGGAGAGAGTAGGGGCTCAGAATACTGAAATCTGTATTGTTTCATCGTTTTTTCCTTCTAATTTTGTATTTTCTAAGACTCCTCTCCACTGTCCTGTGGTGTCCCGCAGGGCTCGGTCTTGGGGCCTCTGTTATTCTCCCTATATTTGCTACCCTTAGGACAGATCATAAATAGTTTTAACATTACATATCACTTATACGTGGACGATATCCAGCTCCACATTTCATTCAAACCTAGTGAGGCTTTTAGGATATCAAGACTCTTAGAATGTCTTAGCGCCATTAAGGACTGGATGGCAGATAACTTCTTACAACTCAATGCTGATAAGACGGAGGTTCTGGTTGTTGCACCAGAAATGATTACGTCCTTGATTCTGAAAAGTATTGGACCATATTCCTCTGCTGCCAACTCCAAACTACGCAACTTAGGGGTAATATTTGACCAATCCGCATCGTTTGATACCCATGTTAAGCAACTGACGAGATCATGTTTCTTCCACCTACGAAATATTAGCAAACTGAGATCTGTAGTTTCAACACCCGACCTAGAAATGATTATCCATGCATTTATTTCATCTCGCATTGATTACTGCAACGCATTGTTCTCCTCTCTCAGCTTGTCTGCCCTTGGTCGTCTGCAGTCAGTCCAGAATGCAGCTGCAAGACTTCTCTCCCGGTCAAACAAATGGTCCCACATTACCCCGATACTCAGATCACTTCACTGGCTCCCTGTAGCTTATAGGATTAAGTTCAAAATCCTCACTCTCACCTACAGAGCTTTGCACGGTCAGACTCCTGCTTATGTGGCCGACTTAATTCACTCAGGTCTCACAGGCAAAATGTACTGTCTGTCCCACGTACCCACCTTAAGACCCGCGGTGATCGAGCGTTCGCAGTAGTGGCTCCTAAATTATGGAATGCTCTGCCTGCTCATCTACGGTCTGCGGAGTCTGTTGACTCTTTTAAAACTATTTTAAAGACATTCCTGTTTGGGTAACCGGTGTGCTTGATCTTATTCCATTTAATACTATGTTTTTATTTTGTTTGTTTTAAATTTCTTTTGTAAGTTTTGTTTTATTGTGTCTTAATTATGCTCTGGTGCTTTTATGACTTCTTAACATGTGGGTTCATTGATCATTGTACGCCTCCTATGTGGATGTCTTATTGTTTTGTCAAGCACTTTGTGACTTTGTCTGTGAAAAGCACTTTATAAATAAACTTTACTTACTTACTTACTAAACTGTACACTGTTATTTACTCAACAATAAGACACAATTATCCTTGTGTTTATTTATTTGTTTGATTGTATAATGTCTGACTTTTGGAGTCCGTCAGGACCGAGGGTCGGAGCAGCTCATAGTAGTTGCTTTAGAGAATTTTACACCCGGAAGTAAGTATTCTCTCTAATGTCGATTGATTTTACAGTGATATCTGCATTACTCATCAACTCAAAAACACCCAATTATCCTTGTTAATTACACAACATTGATTGGTTTAAATTGTGTACAATGCTTTTGTGTTTTTCCCCTTCGATTCGGAGAAACAAATAGTTTTTTCTGAGTTTAGGATGGCCGAAGACACTACACTACCCATAATCCTCAGCTATCGTTTGGGACTACACCAGTCCATTTTGCTTGACAAACCCTGTGATTAATCTTCAAGCTCTGTGATTGGATGTTGGAGTGGCAGTGCGCCAAGGTTACGCCGAGCGTCAAACAGCAGCACTTTGAAATGGAATGAAACCGAGCGACGGCACACTATCCAAAACAGGATACGAACGAGTCCTGTGCTTATCGACACCGGTTACACATGTACAACATGCAATTTATTGTTACTTTGTAATTCTACTCCACTACAATTCAGAGGATAACCTGGTATTTGTACTCCACTACATTTATTTTAGTTACTTTTTAGATTCTGATTAATGATGTGAAATATAAATAGCCCTTAAATCAGACTTTAGTAACACCTGAGTAAAATTCAGGGAAGGTGATTGTCAAGTGCCAACAATCAGGCGAGATATTTGATAAAGGGTGCTTGAAAGACAAAAAATGTATCTGCAGATCCCTATAAAGCATATTCATTACTCGTTATTCTCTAATCGTTCATTATAAACTGTATATAATGGCTATTTTGCACATCCCTTTCAAGTTTTCAAGATTTTCTAAGGTTTATTGACATATCATATACACAACTACGGTGTAGTTATGCAATGAATGAAAAACTTGGGTCGCAGGTTACTCAACAGTGCATTACAAGACATCTATCAATATGTGTGTACCTCCACCATTAAACTGTCGTATTCTGCACATTTCTTATTCTATCTACATACATCTTATACGAGTATAATTCATATGTATAATATCAGTTAAAATAAGTGCTTCAACATAGTTAACATTGCAGGAAAGTTTATTGTCAAGTCCCAAAACAAACCATGCAATATATTAGACGTTAAGTACTTTGTCAGGCTTAATATTTATCTGTAGATACCCCCAAAGCTTTTTTCTTATTTAAAAGAAGACCTTAACCTAAAGTATTCTTTCATGTTTAAATAAAGCCTAATTAGTTTGTCTGTTTTGCACATCCTCCTATTAATATATTTTGACATCCGGCACTAAACTGTTTTATTGTAGAGATCACTTACAGTATCTTCTTGATATTTTCTATTCTATATTTCTATCATTGACCTTCTACTTTCCCCCTAATTTGTATGTACTCTTAATATTTGTATGTTTTCATCAAATCATATTCAACAAAAAAATGCAATAACGTTCTTTAACCACTAGGTGGTGCGGGTTAAAAAACTGTCAAGTTTACAGTGTTAACACAATAAAATATACTGCTGTTTCCAGTTTATGATGGACGTATTTTGTTATCCACACATATTGTTTTGATATTTGTAACACCAAACCGACACAAAATTTGGTCTTAACATGATCCAGTGGTCTAGTTAATAAAAAATATATTATCATACATAATAGAGAGGCGAAGTCCCTCCCCTTCCGGTTGAGCTCCATGGGACCTTATTTCGGAAAAGTTATGCATTGAAGTCAATGGAGAGAGAAAGATTATCTTTCGATCCCGTTTGAATTGTGCCACGAATTACACATATGATGTTTGTCAATTTAAAAGATAATTTTACAAGTCAAAAAAATAAAAATGTGTCGTAAAACTGTGAAGTAACACTTTTTTTGTGTGAAACCGCTCAATGAACTACATCTCCCGTCTCGCACCACACACCAAGACGGCCGTCACGTTGGCACATTTCACTTCTTTCTTTCAGAATGAGGCGAAAAGTATTAAAAGAGGTGAAAATCACTACAAGTCTGGGCATGTTGAGAGCTGTACATACACAAAAGGGGAGTTAGTCGGTTCCGTAAGAGCCAGCATGCGGGACCGGGATTCTGGGATTTGTAGTCTTTCTAGTTGCGTATTTTTCATAGTCTTATATTTCAACAGTTTTACGACAAACTGTGACTTTTTTGACATGGAAATTATTATTTAAGATTGACAAACATCATATGTGTAATTCGTGGCACAATTCAAACGGGATCGAAAGATAATCTTTCTCTCTCCATTGACTTTTTTTTCCGAAATAAGGTCCCATGAGTCCCACCGGAAGAGGAGGGACTTCGCCTCTCTATATTAAAATGAACTCCTATTTTGAAAATACAGCTTCCTGTGTTCGAATGAGCTGCTCCGACCCTCGGTCCTGACGGACTCCAAAAGTCCGACATTATACAATCAAACAAATAAATAAACACAAGGATAATTGTGTCTTATTGTTGAGTAAATAACAGTGTGTGTTTTAGAAAAGAATACAAAATTAGAAGGAAAAAACGATGAAACAATACAGATTTCAGTATTCTGAGCCCCTACTCTCCCCCTAACTGACGGCAACAAAAGTCCGACATTATACAATTAAAATAAAGAATTAAAAACAATAAGTGTGGCTTGATATTGAGTAGGAAAAAGTTTGATAAACGCTGTGAGAATGGGTCTGCGAAGAGCATTTCTCCGCGATACCAACTCGTCTATTACCAACGTTCAGGGAGCTCTATAGTTGATAGTTGAAAATTGACGCTAAAGGGCCCCCTGTGTTTGATAGTGACGCCAAGGGATTCTGACATAACGTTACTATAGGACGAGTTGGGAGTGAGAATGTCCAGTATCACACCCAGATTCCTTGCAGTCTGAATCTTGGAAACAACAGAGGTGCAGATGTGGATAGAAAGGTCATGGATGTGAGAGTGCTGACCTGAAAGGAAGAGCAGGTCTGTATTGTTGAAACTGAACTTCAAGTGGTGCACAGAAATCCACTGAGAGATGTTAGACAGACAAGCAGAGATGAGTGTGACCACCTGGGTAGCAGACCGGGGAAAAGCCAGAATCAGTTGTGTATAATCTGTGGGACGAGAAGCAATGACCGCAAATGAGTGAGCCAATATAATTGGTGCACAGAGTAAAAAGAAGGGGACCAAGGACAGACCCTTGTGGGACCCAGGGCTGGACTGGGACAGCAAATCGGCCCTGGCATTTAGACCCAGACCGGCCCAAATCCATAAAACAAACGAATAGTAGCGGTTCCTGACAAGAAGAATAACTCAGTATAATTTTAAAAAACGCTATTATTATCCTTTTTACGTACCAGGGGCAAACAAAACTAATACATACCACAAGTATGTGTAACTATCAATCATTAGAAATTAGACCTTCAAACCCTCTCACAAAGCGAACAGTGACCGAGCACTAATAGGGGGGTCTGGGGGGGTATGCCCCCCACAGAAGAAAAGTTTTAAAAATAACCCCTTAAATGATGACTTCTAGTGAATTTAGGGGGGGGGGGGACCCTATAGTGCCCTGCCTCCCCTTTCTATGACAACACAATAGAGATAGGACCAGATGAGTCTACAGGATGAGTCGACGGCATCTTTTTATATACATTGACGCTTTCATTTAATTTTTCCATCCTTTTTTTAATCGCTGTAATTGTATTGCCTTTTTCATCTGTACACACGACACCTATTGCACGTCTGTCCGTCCTGGGAGAGGGATCCCTCTTCTGTTGCTCTCACAGAGGTTTCTTCCTACTTCCCACTGTTAATTGTGGGGTCTGTTTTGGGGAGTTTTTCCTTGAGCGCTGCAAGAGTCTAAGGACAGAGGATGTCGTACCTGTACACACTGTGAAGCCCTCTGAGACAAATTGTAATTTGTGATATTGGGCTATATAAATAAAATGTGATTGATTGATTGACGCACGCAAGGGGCTATAGTGCAAGTCTTAGGCGGCTGGTTTCTCAGAACCTCACAGAGCACACAGAACTGAAGGAACACAGGTTTAACCAAAAATACTATCCACTGTCTTTATTTTTTTTCCTGAGAATAGGTTTGAAAGAGACAGATTTAAATTTACAAAGAGAGTTGAAGCAACATTTGACAGAAATCCCACATAAATTACAAAAGTACACAACTAGCAAGATATATATACTGTATATATATACTGTACACACAAAGTAACTTATATACTAGACTGAAATAACTAAAATGAATGCTTGTTGTGGAGAGGGGCACTATGTCCAGCGTCCATTCCTCTGTGTGTGTGTGTGTGTGTGTGTGTGTGTGTGTGTGTGTGTGTGTGTGTGTGTGTGTGTGTGTGTGTGTGTGTGTGTGTGTGTGTGTGTGGTGTGTGTGTGTGTGTGTGTGTCTGTGTGTCTGTTTGCATGTGTGAGTGTAGTTGGGGGGCTTTGGGAGAGTCAAAAAGGATGCAGGTGACCTCTTTGGTCCCTGATAGAGGTCCATACAAATAGGCATTGACATAACAATACCACACAGTTAATGGTCAAAACTACATGTGTGCCTACATTTTTTCTTCTATTTCTATATTATTCATTCTATATATTGTCAATCAAAACTACCACAAAAAGCTGACTATAAACATTTTGTTCAGGTCCCAAAAGACCACTGTTGCCCTTATAAACACATAAGTAAATAAACTAAACAAAACAAGCTGCCAGCTGACAGTAATTGTTCATGAATGGTGGTTAACAAAATAATGACATTCTTTCAATGAGACAACGTATCAGAGTCCCATTAAGCTATATTTTAACTTGCCAGGGAAAACCTAAAATAGCCAGCTTACTAGCTTGTAGGCTAACGAATGTTTCTCTAATAATATTTGTCTTATTAGTGCTTCATCAAGGGGATATTAATGGGTTCCAGAACTACAGAGTATCATAACCTTAATAATAATCTTTTCCTAATTTTCTTAGCTTCTGCTTACCGCGAGTTCTCCTCCCTCTCCCCACTCGCGCGGATCTCTCTCCCTCTCATCATCTTCCTCACCACCACCAATATCGGCCACGGGTGCTGAATATGGACCTGCACCTGTACTAAACATGTCGGTTATTTTGACACAAGCGGCAACATCAGCACGAAGGGCCTGCTTTTTTCTTGCCCGCAATTTTTCTGCTCCCCCTTTTCGCTTGGCCTTCGTCTTCGCCTTCGCCTTCTCCATTTCTAACTCGAACTTTTTTTTTTCTCGAAAAAAAAGGCGATTTGGCTTCAACGGCCGGCTCACCTCCTGGGGGCGTGATTTAATGATGCACACCGAGCGGCCCAAAGGGGGAGGTGATTAAAGATTTGATTGGGCCGGCCCAGTGTCAATTACTAAAAACATTTAAACAGAGGGCCAATCTACCCGTCTTATGGGCCGGGACTTCAGAAAAAAAAAAAAATTACGTGTCGGCCCAAAAGGCACGTCGGCCCACCGGGAAAATGCCCGGTATGCCAGATGGCCAGTCCAGCCCTGGTGGGACCCCAGTGATGAGTTGACAAGGGTCTGACACAGACCCTCTCAAAGTTACCCTGTAGCTTCCGTCCTTATGGTGAATGAGAGCACGGTATTGCAGAAGCCTACTAGTTCTTGGAGAGTTTGTAAAAGTATCTGATGGACTTTGAAGATGAACAAGTGGTGTAAGTGGGTGACCTGGGAAATGATGAGCATATTTCATCTATTTTTCAAAATAGTTGACAAAATGGCTACGTAGAAGGGATGAAGGAGGTGGGGGACTGGGTGAAGAAGATTAAAATAGTTTTTGGGGTTGAAGAAAGAAGATTAAATTCTAGATTCAAAGAATGTGTGTTAACCAAGCTCAACATAATTTATTTTAGTGACAAAGGTAAAAGATAAGCGGCACTGAAGAAATACCTTTGGAACAATAAAAAACAGCACTTCTCTACCTCACCATAAAATGGTTAAGGAATGGCAATGGGGAAATCCTATCTTGGAGTAGACTGGGGTGAAGGATTACTGACGGCAGGAGTGGGGGAAAATGTCAGGGCTGAAACCTGGTGAGCCATAGCCTGATTATAGTTGAATAATGCCAAAATGAACTGATCGTGTTGTAACAATTGTAAATATTGCCCTGGCTAGACAGAGTGTGTTGGAAAGCAGCTGGGTCAACCCCTGTGTTTGAGGGATTCCTCTTATGGTCAGTTCACGCTGTTGAGGCTTGCTGGAAGCAACATAACTGAATCTACAATGAAAACACAGACGTGAGACAGAAGCTGTGTTTAGTCACAGCCTTTTAAGGAGCAGAAAGGGCAGAGCAAAGGTGGGGGGAGTCCAGGTAAAAACAACCAGGAGGAATCCAGGGAGTGGGGACCAGGAAGAGCAAGCCACGAGCATGAGGCACAACGTGGTGAATGGCTGGACACGACAGGCGGTCAGGTAGGTATCTGCAAACAGGAGATACAGGGTAAATTCAGGCTTAACCTGACAAGAGCAAAAAAAAAACAATTACTGAGATGTTCGTAGTGGAAACAATACAAACGGCTACAGACTGGAGGTGAGGAACAGGCTTTTATACAGAGGCAGGTGAGTAATGGTAATCAAATTGATGATCAGCAGCTGAGTAGGTGTGGTGGCGGGAAGGAGAAAGTAGGTCAGGCCCTCCCAGCAAGGGAAACACAAACGCACACAAGAAGAGAATACAAACGGGGAACAATACAGGGAAAAAGAGGCACAATAGAAGAGGCAGGTAGACCATAACACCCAATGAAATCAGACATTTATTTTCTTTATTAGTGTGAAAATGTGTTAATGCATAGTTAGAGAGATTGACACAATTTGACAATGTGCCTGTTATAGTAACACATTTTTGCAAATAAAATACAGGGTAAAATACAACACCTACAAACTGGAGGTTGCATCGCTTGCTTTTAACTTCAAAAAGCGTGTCACTTGATTTTCATTTAAATGTACTACTCCCCTCTGTGGATGATAGTTGTGAAGTTCAGCCATAAACCAATAATGTGCCGTTTATTGACCAATGTACTGTTCAGGACAAACTAGCTTCCAAACAATACATTTTGCTTAATGTATAAGTATACATTATTTCAACTATTCAATGTAAACCCATATTGGGTGGTGACTGAGGCAAGTGAGACAATGAGAATGTTTTTAGCTTGCCTTGTTGCTTCCTGTTTTTATCTTAGAATATCATTTACATGTTGTTTTTTCACTTCCCATGAAGGAAACCAATATAGGCAGGTTCCTCACTTGCTTTTGTCATGTTGTTACATCAGCTGTACTCTAAATAGTCTTCAGGCAGAATCATTTCTACACGGATTCTGCAACATGAAAAGGTAGGCTTTGTTTTGTTTCTCGTTAGGTACCTTTACCTTAAGAACCACCAGCATTCTATAGTAATGCTGATTAAAGACTGAGGGATAGTTTGACAGGTTGTTTTTCTAAATGAATCATCTTTTCTTCACAGAATGAAGAGTTGGCTCCACTGTTGGCTGATCTTGGCTTTGGTGTCTCAAAACATTACCTGGCAAAAGCTGGTTTCCAATAATGGTTTAGGTCCGGGTTGCAATAATGGTTTAAGTCAAGATCAAAGGTGTAATTCAAAAGGCAATGGAGTTAAGGCACAACACTTTAGGACAGGTCATAAACAAGATCACACCAAATTGTGTGTTAATAAAGTGCTGAACAACAAACAAGGCGTCAAACATATTGGGTAATCAATTAAAATATATTTATAAGAAAACCATAAATAAAATGTTTCAGTAGATACAATTCAAGAGACGCAATTGTAAATTAGAATGATGTACGAATTTATATCAGTTTGTCCTTTAATTTCCAGAACAGCGATTAAGAACATTGCACATTTTCTGGAGGACACAGAGGTGAATGAGTCTACATCACTGTCTTTCAACAATTCGGTGGCCTTCCTGCACAAACCAAAAGGCCGCTTCAAAGGCCTCGAGTTTTATGCCAGTGAGAATGAGGTAAGGATGCTTGTAGCATGGCATGGAGGCAAATCAACATTATTTGATGAACTACTGAATGGGTTGCCATGATATTTTGAACAGACTTTCAGTATGATATTTTCTTCCGGCTTTCTGCCTTTATTCATTCTTACTTTTGGTGAAATAGCTTGACGACTACTTGATCCATTGGCATAACATTTGGCACAGACATTGATAGTTTCAAGATAAGGTATCCTTGTGACTTTGATAATGCAATGACTTTTTTTCTGTAGTGCTACCATAAGGTTGGCATGTTTTGAGTAGAATTTTTTTTAAACTACTGGATTGATTGGCATGGAATTTGGAGCCCACATACATGTTCCCTTGATGCAGTTTTGTGAACCCTGACCCTCTAGCATGTTTACTTTACATTACTACCACCATAAGCCCTATTCAGCTAAAGTTAGCATGTCAATTACATAGTGTGGTGCAGTAATGAGTCCATAAACCCGGAAATTACTTAATTAGAATTGTCCCACTTCCTGTTCCTAGTACATTTTTCTCACGTTTTTTTGAATGTGTTTTTTGTTAGAAGCCTGAAATAAGGTCTGTTGTTATAACAAGCCTAAGATATTTTCATGTTTTGTTTTACCACGTAAAATACGTTAGTAATTACCCCCATGTCCGAAGCTTTATGGTTGCTAAAGAGTGAATAAATCAGCGCCATTAAGCCAACACATGTCCTTCTTCTTGCTAAGCGGTGGTGATGCGCAGCTATGCGACCTTAATGAAGTTTGTTCATAGCCTAGCAATAGATTTTTACATTTGGCAATTGCATTAACGCTTCAAAATTCACAAAGTGGCGTTACTATGTGGAGATTATCCTGCTTAACAAACATGTTAAGTATCATAAATGTGTTTGCCACAGAGCTTATCTCTATGGAAGAGGATTAGGGCCACATGACATTTTTCTTTTTCACACCCCCACATTTTCTTTTTCATGTGGCCCTAATCCTGTTCCGTATCCAATGGGAAAATCCCATTGCTTTTGTCGAGGGACCCCTTTGCGATGCTAAATGGAGGGTCAACCTAAAAAAATACGTCATACCTGCACCACTCTATTCAGAGGATATTTGGATGCCAACATTAGCATTTGGCTCAATCCCCTGAAATGTTTAAGTACAATCTCAATTATTTGCTAGCATGGTTTTAGAGGCTAATACTCTTAGTCTTAGTCTATATAAAACGAACAACCTACTCTTGGTGTTACCATCTCTGGTCACTTTTCTAGTCGTAAAACCCTCAATTCATAACAAGTCGTTCTGTTAGTTGGGTAGTTGATTATTCTGTGAAACCTCTCTTAGGTCCAAATGTAACTGTGAGAAATCTGTTATTATGTTACAGGTAATTAAAATGTAAGGTTTCCGTTCTTCACTCTGTGCCTCTGATATAGGTAATGACAGGCAAGTCTGTCCCCAATTGCAAAGTGAGGGTTCAACTGCCAAGGGAGCTCGATGCTGGATCAGAAAACTCCATTGTTTTCCACATGCTTACCTGGCCTGAAGCAAACTGGGTGAGATACTTTAATATTATGTCTAATTCTGTAATAAAAAATCTGAATAAATAAAGTTCAAAAGTATGTATTTATTTTGTATTGTATTTACATATGTTCCTATGTTCTCTGTGTGTGTGTGTGTGTGTGTGTGTGTGTGTGTGTGTGTGTGTGTGTGTGTGTGTGTGTGTGTGTGTGTGTGTGTGTGTGTGTGTGTGTGTGTGTGTGTGTGTGTGTGTGTGTGTGTGTGTGTGTGTGTGTGTGTGTGTGTGTGTGTGTGTGTGTGTGTGTGTGTGTGTGTGTGCGTGTGTCACATTGGAGCCATTGGAAGTACGTCATTATTCATTCTCACTGACTGCATGTTATAGAGAACATGTCCTTGTTTCTGACAAAATACTATGCTATGGTACAACTTTCACTTGCTCTTTAGCTATTCACCATTGCGCCCTTCACAAACATGCAAAATGTAATTTGTTTCATGAATAAGAGTGGGCCCACCAATACTGATAATTTGAAGCACCTTTAAATACAGGAAAGATACTTCAGTAAAAAAAACACAATTTACAAAACTGTTGTTGTGCCTTATCTGTTTAACTAATGATGATTTTATGTTGTACTGTAGACCATACGTGAAGCCTCGGCTGAATTATATGAGAGCAGACTGTTTGGCCTGAGTGTGCGGTGCAAGAATATCTCAGGACTTCAGGAGCGCGTCAACATCACATTGGCTGTTACTGTGAATGTAACTACAACTTCTCTTCTCAAATCTTTTTACTTACATAACCTTTTATATTTTTATAAATTACACAAATATACAATATTGTAAACGTTTTACTGTGTTGTGTCACAGGATACCCAAATGCCCTGCTGTGTGTTCTTAAACTATTCAACAAACGGTTTGTGAAAAACAAAGACACGTTTGTATTTTGTTATGAATATTACAATTATTTATTCATTGTGGTCTCATACATGACCAACAAATTGGGTTTTAATTCCCATGTGTCAGGATCTCTCATATAATGGATCTGTCTGTCTACGTTTGTTTGACCTTGCAGACTTTAGCACTGATGGCTGTCTGACTCTGTGGGAACCTGGTCAGAGAAACATCATCTGCTCCTGTGACCACCTCACATACTTTGGCGTGCTCATGGTAGGCTTGTCCTTGTCATCATGCAAAGTAGTCCATATACTGTACATGTAAATATAGTGGATAGCCAAAATACATGATATTTTGCATTACTGAATTATGTAGTTTCATTACAAGGAACAACAACAGAAGCCGTTTTGGATACTTTGGCGGGTCTTTGCATGTCAGCGGACTGTTTTTTACAGTTATTACATCAAATCTCTGCAAAAATGCAGTTATGAAACTCTACAAGTGTGCAATAGAGTGGTGCAGTGATGATAGCTCTAGCTAATTCTTTATAGTTTTAGCTGTCAACATATCCCATTGAAACCCAAACCAAAAACCAATGGAGTTGTGCAGTAATGAATATGAAGGTTAGCATCGCATGGACTCCTTCTTGGTCCCCCGGCTTCCTTTATTTTGTTTGCCCTTTGATTGTCTGTTTGTTTTGTTTGTCCACCATGTACAGCGGCCTTGGGTCCCTTGAAAGGCGCTATATAAATATCATTTATTATTATTATTATTATTCGTCGAATAACAGTGCGATTTATTTGTCTTTGTCATTAGTTTTTGTTATATTGCAGAAAATATGTGTCAAACACATGATACTTACACGTTTTGTTCAGCAGAAATTCTACATAATAACATCACTTTTATGACATTTGAAGCGTAAATTAAATCCCCCAGAAGTAAAAAGCTGATGTAAGGCTGTCAACGAAATACATCATAGTCACATGTCTTAAAGGTCCCATGTCATGGCCATTTCTACTGATCATAATTCCATTGTTGAGGTCTACTAAAATAGATGTATATTGTGCAATTTTCCAAAATCACATTGGTTTCTCATACAGCATCTCTGTATAGTATGTGTATTCACTCTCTGTCCTAAACGGCTTGTTGGAGCTCCTGCCCCCCCCCTCCCTATGAGCCCAGTGGCCGTCTCCGAGACAGCGAGACACAGCGAAACCCAGCCCGAACACACACACCCGCAGCCTGGCTGGGAGTTTGTGTGTGTGTTCACACACCGACTCACAGCCTCGCCGTGTCCCGCCGTCTCAGGGAGGAGAAATCGGCGGAGCTGCAGCTGAGAAAAGATTGAGTGTGTGTGTGTGTGAGGAAGTCCGCTGATTGGTCCATTTGGACCAATCCACGGACTTAACGTAACGGCTCCGCGGACGTAACAGCTCCGCGGACGTAACGGCTCCGCGGATGTAACGTAACGGTTCCACGGATTGGTCCATTTTGACCAATGGGTCCATTTGGGTACGGGCACGTCACTGTACCCAGGAAGAAAAAGAGAAATCTCCAACGAGGCGTTCTGGGGCAGCATAAACAGGTCTTTTCTGTGTTAGAGTTTTACTCGCTACAGGGTGTACTTTGAGGGTTTGTGACGTTGCAGACCGTTTACATGCAGAAAAACCTTCATAACACACAAGGGGACGGGTAATAACCGGAAAAGCATGACATGGGTCCTTTAATATTATCACCGCTTAGCTTAAAGTGGACCTATCATGCTATATTTAAATGATATTGTAGGGCCATACCTATATAAGGTATATTTATACGTTTCTGTTTTCAAAATACCAAACAGATCATGCATTTTAGCCATGCCTCATTTCGCTCTATTTGCTGTTCTCCAGCCCTGTTTTTGCAGGGGGCTGATTCTGTGAGCTGCAGCTGACCATGCCCCCCTGCAGGAGAGAGGAGCCGCTCTGATCAAGTCAGAAGAGGGGGAGAAAAATAGATCTCCGTCCTCCGTGTTTTATTATAGCCTATTATTATTATATAGAGTCGTTATTCATTTGTTTTAAAGCTCAATAAATAACAAAGAAGACCTTTGACCGGCACTTTTCTAATTTTGTCCGGAAGATTTAAACTTTAACGGACATCTTGACTGGCGAAAGAAAACCTAACTGAAACTCTGCCGCACGGTCCCCTCGTTCCTTGGAAGAGGCGGAGAGGTGGGTGTTTGTCATCTGCTGGTGGACTAACCGGAGATAATTACAGTGCTTGCCTCGACGGGGAGGGATTGCATTGAATTAAAGCAGCGGGAGCAAACGCTTGCCTCGGGGAGGGAGAAAAAAAGCCACAGCGGAGAATAAACAGAAGGGTAACCATGGAAGTCTTCTTCACTGCTTTTGTGGCAGACTACAGCGCCACTTACAGGCCTGGCATATGTACTACAGCGTCTCCAGCGCTTTCGAGCGGCAATGGCCGACCGTGGCCCAACCCCACATTCCCCTGATAGGTGGAGAGTTGGCCCAATAGCCGTAGCGCCACCGTCCTGACGTCAGGACAGTGTTCAAATCTGGATCAGTTTTTATCAGATCCGTTGCAGCCCCTTTTTTAGAGATTTGGGTATGGAGGAAAATAGAGAGGGTTGTGTTTTCTGACACTTGGTGAGTTCCCTGGAACACCGGGGACACATATTCATGTATAAAAGACGTACAAAAGTGCATTTTGCATGATAGGTCCCCTTTAAGGCAGCTAATGTTTTAGCCTAATAATGTAGCCACTTGTTAGCAACCGCCATATTTAGGACACCTAGAATCTAGGACATTCACCAGTGGGGTATTAAAGGTAGGGTAGGTAAGTTTGAGAAACCGGCTCGAGATCGCTAGAATTTGAAAATACACAACCGGAGAAAATCTGCCACTTCCTTACAGAGCCCCTCCTCCAACACACACGAACGTGCACATGACCAATGAGGGCACGAGATAAGTTTGTGCACAGATGGAAGGCTGACAGGCAGGTAGGCCATCCAGTTATTTTAGCCGGGCCGACTAAAATGATTGGTGGTACTTTTTACAGTACTACGGCTTCCACAGATGAAATTTGTTTATGGATTTTTTGTCAAAGCACTTGAGATATTCATTGCTATCGGGGTGTTAAGAGCATTCCATGGAATATAACAAAAAGTGTATCTCGAGCCGGTTTCTCAAACTTACCTACCCTACCTTTAACTTACATATTCTATGTCGTAACAAAACTTAAAAATATGGTATAGGCTTAACAACAGACCTTATTTTATGAATCCAAGTAAAGATTAATAAAACAAAACATGGAGTTCGAGGCTAGGGAGCCTTCAAGTGCTAAAATGCTAACTAATTTAGGGTTAGAACTCATTCCTGCACCATCAAAATAAAGGCAAAGTATAAAGATGGGCACGGTCTAAGCAAGGGCACGAGAAATGGCAGAAAAAACAAAAACAAAGATGTGACTATTAAGTAAAAACGTCAATACCATAATGTGAAAATACAAGTCCCAGCACAGCAAAGTGTCCTGGTGTATTGAATAGTTTGCATTAAAGAACACAAGGGTGTTGGATCGTTAAGAGATCATTATGATTGACACTTTAACATTCTGGTTAAATAACAGAAGGTTTTTAATACTAAGGCTGGTAAGAATGGAGCTTGTGTTATTGACTACAGTACAAGTCCTCCAACTCATACGACCAAATAGGTTGATTGTTCAAGCGCTTAATACGACCTATAATCAGGTTTTAAAGTTTTCGACCTCTAGTGCTCCTGTTGACTGCAAACGCTCCGGAGGGTCGTATATTCACAAATAACCCTCTCTGGAAAATCCTAAATTGTAGGATAGTTTGGCCATTAAAATGCTTTTTGATTAGATTTCTAGCGAGAAGTGTATATTGTACTTTTAGAATCCACGTCCAGTGGATGTGTAGGATCTATAATTTGATAGATATTAGGAAGATGATTTGAGGTCTCGCCAGGAGAACGTGTAACGGCAGCGTCCATGTAAGGTTAGCGTCAACCCTCACGGGGTGAAAACAGTATTTCTGGTCTCGAAGGTGGTGGACCTCACCTCCTCTAGGGGGATACGGGGGCATGCTCCCCCCGGGAAGATTTTTTTTTAAATGTTGAAGTTAAATGCATCAATCTGCTGCAACATTAAGAGATCTATGGATACATCTCTCAACAACACCCATGTGAAACAGAACTGTAAACAGATTTACTTTTTCTTTATGCATATTTTACAAATCACTCCCCTTTTAAACTGTATTTTTGTTTTACTGTCCTATAGTATGAGTTGGAATTATTTCATACCTGTTATTCTCTTATTTTTTATAACTATAATGATCATATAAAGGTGTGCCTTGGAAATACTTATTTACATAAATGATTACCAAACCGTTTGAGACCCACTACTTAGACTAAAGTGAAATATCTAAACCAGGGGTCGGCAACCCCTGGCACACGTGCCACCAATGGCACGCGGCACCGTAACCAGTGGCACACTAGGAATAAGTGGAATAAGTGGGCAAAATAGTTAAATTGTATTTTCGGATCCTGAACAAGACCGACGCCAGAGCGCGTCTCCCCGTTACCTGCAGAAGGAAGCCACGCACGCAATGCAGCCCCGCTCTCTTTAACTCCAGGCGACTTTCTGCCGCTTTCCTCCGTAATGCAGTGCTGATAGTTTCACCACAGAGGAAAGCACTTCACAAATTGCATTACCCATAAGGAGCTGTAAAAATACCGCAGTTTTTGCGTGGCGATCGATATCGGCCGATACTCACTCTCTGCCGATCGATCGGTGCTCTCTAAAAAGGCCAATCGCGAGACGTAAAATACATGACACTTTTCTCTGTGTGCGGCAAAACAAGCTCGCCAAAATGGCTTCACCAGTCTGGCAGTATTTTAAGGTGTCCGAAAATGACAATAAAATAGCGGTTTGCAACTTGTGTGAAGCAGAAATCCTGCAGCTCCACCCGCTGTGACGGACCGGTGAGCGGAGCAAAACACACAAGTGTTAGACCTTACACACTTAGCTATTTTATCTACCTCTGGAACTAGTTATAAATATATTTATTATTCACTGTCACTCATTACTGGATCAGTGAGCTGCATGAGATACTGACAGGCTGTCAGGAGAGAGAGAGAGGGGGAGAGAGGAAAAGAGAGCGCTTCCGCTCATTTCTCCCGTGTTATTATCCAAAGTTAATGTAAACTTGAATAATGTAGGCTACTTCATTTGAATCTAACAATTATGTTGGTTGTTGTTTGTGGAAGCGCCAGTGAATGAGCCCCATTAACTGAGTTTTAAACATCACTTTTCACGAGTGTTTTCGTCGAGCTCTTCACCCCTTGTTTTCTAAATGGAGATTGGCTAAGCTAACGCAGCATATGCTCCGACCGTCCACACTCACAACAACGGCCTACAGACATAAATAAACCAGTGACTGTATTCGCCATGACACAGACAGTCTGTGGTTTGTACTTGTTTCACTTTTGTCTAGTTTCTGAACAGATATGAGGAGCTGTGAGCTCTGAGTGCTAACAGCTAACGGCTGTGTTGTTTTTCTGGGGTTCTCATTGAAGATGACGTCACGGCTCCGCCTACACTGCGTTACTATAGATACTACCCCAGTTACTGTAATGGAAATGCGCCATAAAGTGAGCCAGCCCTAACGAGGCCTAGCCATACCGAGCGAGGCCGAGCGAGGCCGTGTAGTGGAAATGCGCCATTAGTGCCGGAGCCTCGCAGCGTGGAAACTGGCGCGCATAATTTTACAACTAAAGACACAGCTACACAAAAAACGCAGCATGTGTACGGCTCATGTGTACGGCTCTGGTGCCTTGGTACAAAGTAGCAGTAAAAACATGGTACGGAATTTCATTGATTTGGGCATTCTCACAATAAGCAAGTGGAATGGATTTGATAATGAAGCACTGACACAGCGCTCTACAAAGAGCGGCGAGTGGATAGACCGATTCACGGACTTTCCGCATAGTAAAAGTGGGGGGGGGTCTAAACTAATCATTTTAAAAAGGTGGGGGGGACTTGTCCCACCCTCATATAATGGCTGCGACGCCCATGCGTGACGTGGATCATAAATGTATCAGCAATTAAACAACATCTTCCATTTCTCTTCACACAATACGTCTCCTTGCAGTATCAACACTAATTCGGCTGACTTTTATATTTGATCCAATTGGTAAATAGGCTATATTTACACCATAACGGTGCACAGCTGATAGAAAAGGACTTACTGATATTACTGATTTTCTTTGCATTAAAGAATGTAAATACTGAGTTGAAAGAATAGTCAGGGGTTTTGGGTGATGGGAGACACATCTATGGATTCAGAATTTCAATAGCTTACCATTAAATGACGGATATACCTTTCTGTCTATGATGTTTTACAAATCAGATATTAATGTGTAGAACTACAATTTGTGAAATATTATAGCAATATCCTGTACAATTATGTGAACACATGAATAAAACTACACATCTTCAGATGTTATACATACATAAGTGTCCTACACTAATAATACAAAGTTATTATGGCATTGTATGCTCTGTGTTATTTGTAACATCTTCAGAAACTACCTTTCCAACTCCTCATGCAGTTGACTGTTACAGGTCTATACCAACACACTCTCACTCCATAAACGTCCAGGAGCGACGCTTGGTCAGGGTTCCGAGGCGTGCAGTTGGGACGCTCCTAGGCTCCTACAGCTTCATAAACAGACGCAAATAGCTTTAAACTGATTGCAATGTATTCCCATCTGCAGCGGGATTTGACGCTCATGGAAGCACGGCATTCGTTTGTGTCGGTGTTTGTTAAAGGCAATGTGAGCGTCCATAGGTTTTAGTGTGTGTACAATGCTTTTGTCACGTTTTCCCCTTCAATTCTGAGAAACAAGTAGTTTTCTATGAGTTTTGGATGGCCGAAGACATTACATTACCCACAATCCTCTGTAGCAACCATAGACTGTATATTGCAACAGGCAACAGCTTCGGTTCATGTTAATTTACAAACTCTTCAACTACAACCGTAGTTATATTTAAAAACATGTTAGAAGGCCTCACGAAATACTTTAATGTAAATTTAAATTTAAATGTGAAGGAATGTGTGTATATTAACTGTGGGTTTTTCTCTGGAAGTTTTTCCTTGTACGATGTGAGGGTCAAAGGACAGATGATGCCGTTTTTCTCATACTGATATTCCGCTATGCACGCTGGGATTTGGTGTTTATGCGATGTGAAATCCGAAAACATTTAAAAAAATTAAATAATACATTATTCCGAGTGTGCTTGCTTTTCTCTTTGAAAGTCATCACATAACGGCATTGTAATACACGTTTCGGCTGCATTAAATATTACATATCTGCCGTAGTTAACTCTATTTATAGAGCCCTGATGAGAAGACTTCTAGACAAACAGGAACTGCCGCCAAAACTGAAAACTTGACGTGGATCATAAATATATAAGCAATTAAACAACATCTTACATTTCTTTTCACACAATACGTCTCCTTGCAGTATCAACACTAATTCGGCTGACTTTTATATTTGATCCAATTGGTAGATAGGCTGTATTTACGCCATAACCGTGCACAGCTGATAGAAAGGGACACCTACTGGTTAAAGCACATTATTGCATTTTATAATTTTATTATTAGATATTAATAGGAGGATGTGCAAAACAGACAAACTGATAAGGCTTTATTTAAACATTAAAGAATACTTTAGGTTAAGGTCTTCTTTTGAATAAGAAAAAAACGTTGGGGGTATCAACAGATAAATATTAAGCCTGACAAAGTATTTAACGTCTAATATATTGCATAGTTTATTTTGGCACTTGACAATCACCTTCCCTGAATTTTACTCAGGTGTAACTAAAGTATGCTTTAAGGGTTGTATATATTTCACATCATTAATCAGAATCTGCAAAGTAACTAAATGTAGTGGAGTCAAAATACCAGGTTAACCTCTGAATTGTAGTGGAGTAGAATTACAAATTAACAATAAATTGCATGTTGTACATGCTGCTGTAACAAAACATCCACGGCAGACTATCCAAAACTGGACCCGTTCGAGTCCAGTTTTGGATAGTCATTCCATTTCAAAGAGCTTGGCGTAACCTTGGCGCACTGCCACTCCAACATCCAATCACAGAGCTTGAGGACTAATCACGGGGTTTGTCAAGCAAAACGGATGTTGTAGTCCCAAACAATAGCTGAGGATTATGGGTAGTGTAGTGTCTTCGGCCATCCTAAACTCCCCAAAAACGATTTGCTTCTCCGAATCGAAGGTTAAAAACACAAAAGCATTGTACACAATTTAAACCAATCAATGTTGTGTAATTAACAAGGATAAACTGATGTTTTTTAGTGGATGAGTAATGCAGATATCACTGTGTAATCATTTGACAGTGAGGGGAATACTTCTGGTTTTATTATGAAAACTTTGAGACCGGAAATACTGTTTTCAACCTGTGAGGGTTGACGCCAACTTTACATGGACGCTGCGGAAAGACGTAGTATATACACGTTCTCCTGGCGAGACCTCAAATCATCTTCGTAATATCTATCTATCTACTATAGATCCTCCACTGGACGTGGATTCTAAAAGTACAATATACACTTCTCGCTAGAAATCAAATCAAAAAGCATTTTAATGGCCAAACTATCCTACAATTTAGGATTTTCCAGAGAGGGTTATTAGTGAATATACGACCCTCCGGAGCGTTTGCAATCAACGGGAGCATATGCCACAAATTGTTGTTTCTTACACGACCACTAGAGGTGCTAAACTTTCAAACGTGACTATAGGTCGTAATAAGCTGCTGAACAATCGACCTATTTGGTCGTTTTTTGGAGGAGGACAGGCTGGTTATTGACTCTGCGGTTGTCTTGTTTAATTATTAATTATAAGAATATCATAGTGGAATTTTAAAATCTAATTAGCTCTATCAAATTACTGACAAATTGTCCATGTTAAAGGAATTATGTTGTCCTTTCTCCTCAGGTATCTTCTGCCTCCCTCTCACAAACAGACCTGCAGATTCTGACATACATCACTCTGATTGGTTGTAGTCTTTCTCTGTTTGCCCTGATCATCACTGTTCTGCTCTTCATCGCAAATAGGTAAAAAAAAAGGAAATATTTCTTGCCATGTGGATGACATTGATCTGTCATACCTCTTTAAGGCCTTGGCAATGTGGGCCTTATTTGTTACTTACTAAATGCAATGTTCTTTTCTCACTCCTTTATTATCATATTTTGTCCCTTTTCTTCCCATATATGTCATGAAATCCTTTAACAAAATAAAAATGTAACACTTACCACGGAACAATTCTCCTCCAGAAAAGTCCGAGCAGATATCTCTATGAAGGTCCACATCAACCTGGCCATTGCCCTGATCCTCCTCAACCTGCACTTCCTCCCCAGCCAGACGGTGGCAGCATCGTCCTCCACCGAGCTCTGCTTCTACATGGCCGTCTCTCTTCACTACTCCCTGCTGGCCACTTTCAGCTGGATGGCCCTGGAGGGCTTACACCTCTACCTTCTCTTAGTCAGAGTCTTCAACATTTATATCCGGAAATACTTGCTCAAGCTCAGCTTGGTGGGATGGGGTGAGTAGAGTCGCAAAGGCCAGGTATCAACAGGTGGCAACATCTGTCAACAAACATTTGAATGATTTAATCCTTAACCTGTTAAGCCCGAGAGACCCCGGTACCGGGGCACTGCCGCAACATCTTGCAGGAAACAGTGTCTGAGGGCATGTTCATTTAATAAAACTATGAATGTTTTTATATCCATGTAACGGGAAGAAATTCATCTAACTGATCTTTTTTTTTTTTTTTTCAAAAGAAAACCCACAATGCTAACACTGAGCCTCTGAATTAGCAACGAGCGAAACATGCTAACACCTTACTGCACCGAAAATCACTCACAAAACCTTATTATTTATCTCTTCTCTACATCCATGACATCGTTTCACATCGTGAGGTGACACAGAATCGATGAACACCCACAATATCACTGAATTATACGAAATGGCGACGTTATAAGCAAAAACGGACATCAAAACAGGTGACGCTAGGTAGCTAAAAATGCTAACATTTTTACCTTGGCTCTGTAGTCTCTCCAAAGTGGTCTTCAATGGCATTAAAACGATAAAAACGCTGCTGAAGTTAATCCATAGGTTAATCCAATGTGTCTGTGTCCCTTTGAAATGATTTCTGATAATCCATAAGCATTAAAACTGCTATAACATTTTTTATATTATTTATATAATAAAAACATTTTTTAATTTTTTTTTTTTCATTGCACACTTTTGCTTTATCTTCTGAGGTTTTGTTATTGCTGTGAGCTAGTGAATTTCCCCACAGGATCAATAATTTGCTATTAGACATTATACTTTAACTTCTAATGTGTATATATATATTTGTATGTTATTTATATAATGTAAAAATATTAATATATATTTTTTTTCTTTTGCACATTTTTACTTTTTACTCTTAGGTTTATAAAACGTTTTTTATTGTATTTCTATTATTTATCTTTATTTCATTTGATGATTCTGTATAAATTATTTTCTGCAAGGCAATGCAAGTTATTTATATAGCACATTTCTTTCGGCCTGGATTTAAAAGTAGTCAGAGTTGCAGCGGACCTGCAGGTTTCTGGGAGTTTGTTCCAGATATTTGGAGCATAATAACTGAACGCTGCTTTACCATGTTTAGTTCTGACTCTGGGGACAGAAAGCTGACCAGTCCCTGAAGACCTGAGAGTTCAGGATGGTTCATAATTTAGCAGTAGATCAGAAATGTATTTTGGGCCTAAACTATTCAAAGCTTTATAAACCAGCAGCAGTATTTTGAAATCTATTCTTTGACACACAGGAAGCCAGTGTAAAGACTTCAGAACAGGAGTGATGTGATCCACTTTCTTAGTGTTAATGAGGACTCGAGCAGCGGCGTTCTAAATCAGCTGCAGCTTTCTAATAGATTTTTTAGTGAGACCTGTAAAGACACCATTACAGTAGTCCAGTCTACTGAAGATAAAAGCATGGACACGTTTGACCAGATCCTGCTGTGACATTAGTCTTTTAATCCTCGATATATTCTTAAGGTGATAGTAGGCTGACTTAGTAAAACATTTTTATGTCTACACACCTAGATTTCTGGCTTTTACTGTTGTTTTGAATATTGCAGACTGAAGCTCAGCGCTGACTTTTATTAGTTCCTTCTTGGTTCCAAAAACAATTACCTCTGCTTTACCTTTGTTTAATTGAATATTAGTGTGTATATACTGTATAGTTATACATCATACTTTGTTGATTATATTTTGTATATGACTATGAGTATTCAAATGAACTAAATAATAAAACACTGCAATATGTGAAAAGTATAATACTTGCCTCTGACATTTTCAAAATAGAAAGACCTAAGGAAATGATAAACAAAAATTTATTTACAGTAAATACAATACTTAATTAAATGTACTTAGTTACTTTCCAATGTCTTGTCTAATGCTTGTGTTTCAGGTCTCCCTGCAGTCATTGTGGCCCTGGTGGTCATCATCGACAGAAGCTCGTATGGACGCATCCCTCTGGACTCTTCTAACCCCAATAGCACACAAATGTAAGGGAGAAGCACATTTGCAAGCATGTACACTTTAAATAGATAGGTAACTAATTGTATTAAGTGTTTTGCATGTGCGTTAGCATATCTGTGTATTCGAATATAACTTGAAAGGTTGCAAAACCCTCATCACATGTCAGAAGCTATTACAAATGATAGGAAAGAATAGCTTGGATGTACTGATATGTTCTATTTCCTGAACAGAGGATTCAAGATTTTAAGGCTTCATTTTCCTATGCAAGATAACTACAGTGAAGTTGTTGCTAGCTAAAGATCGAGGTTCTTTCAACATACTATATATATATATATATTTAAGACAACAAAAATAAAACAAAGGAGTAATCACGTAGTATAAGTGATACAATGGTAAAATGCAGGAATAAATAAACTATGTAATTTGGAAAAATAATAAGATGAAACATAATCTAAAATTGAATTCAATACAGTAGAATAAAATAATGCTTATTCTTATTATATACAAATTAGTAGACTGTAAGATGTACGCTAAGACCCTGACCCTATGGGTACTTTAAAATACATAGCACTGAATCTTGAATCACCTAAATTGGCCTAGAATTGGAACATAATTCATTATAGATTGTTCAGTGTACGGGATAAAACCCTCTGCTCTTTCTTTCTCTTTGCAGATGCTATATAGGGAATACCACACTGAAGATGGTGACCACAGTGGGAGTGTTTGGCTTGGTTTTCCTCTTCAACGTGACCATGTTGGGGGTGACAGTCAGACAGGTGGTGAGTCTGCACCAGAGCAAAAAGGTAGGACTCAACCTGCACTGTTTGCATTCTGCTTTACTTGTCTTTCTTTTCTTCTGGACTGGCAACCAATCATAAGACAGCTCTATGTAACAGTGCAAGCTAGCAGGGTGCGATACCATAGAAACAAACTTAATTAGCTGTTTTCACCGCAAAGGCTCTGCGCCCAACATGGCGGTGAGCAAAGAGCAAATCGTGCCACTATTATGGCAAGCAGATTTAGCTTTTATTCATTTCTGGAGGAAAAAAAAATCAATTCTTACTAGTAAGAATGCAAATTCTTGATATCAAAAATGCAATTCTTACTAGTAATAATGTTTATTTCTGATATCAAAAATTGAATTTTAACTATTTAGAATGCAAATTCTTGATATCAGAAATTCAATTGTAACTAGTTGTAATGTGTATTTCTGATATCAGAAAAACAGCCTGTCCTCCTCCAAAAAACTACCAAATAGGTTGATTGTTCAGCAGTTTATTACGACCTATAGTGACGTTTTAAAGTGTAGCACCTCTAGTGGTCGTGTAAGAAACAACATGCTCCCGTTGATTGGAAACGATCCGGAGGGTCGTATATTCACAAATAACCCTATCTGGAAAATCATAAATTGTAGAATAGTTTGGCCAATAAAATGCTTTTTGATTTGATTTCTAGCGAGAAGTGTATATTGTACTTTTAGAATCCACGTCCAGTGGATGTGTAGGATCTATAGTTTGATAGATATTACGAAGATGATTTGAGGTCTCGTCAGGAGAACGTTAATATACTACGTCTTTTCCCACAGCGTCCATGTAAAGTTGGCGTCAACCCTCACGGGGTGAAAACAAATTGTTTTTTGGGAGTTTAGGATGGCCGAAGACCAGTCGCGGCGCCAGGGTATGGCTGGGGTAGGCTACAGCCATACCAAGAAATGGCTTAGCCCCACCTTAGCCCCACCATGAAAAATGATGTTAAAGTAAGCAAAATAAAGTCCACCAACTCGCGCGGAGTAAATTGCACAGACAGCAGTTAGTAAGATTGATTTCAGTAGCCACTTGTCTGGAAATACCGAAGACTAGAAACGGTTTTGAAAACTTTTGTCACGTAGTGATCGTCTTCTCAATAAAACAGCTTTGATAATGTCTTCTGGCCAATCAGAATCACGATAACGGCGTGGTGTTGTTGCAGGAAGTCCCGACGGAGAATACTTTTGCTGTAGTACATCTCTATACATCGATACAACATTACGTGTTGATAGAAATCAACACGTAATGAAATAAGACTCCACGGTTTGATGATTGATAGGTGTGTGGGCTGTCTTTCATTTGGACACACAGAACAATGGGGGTATCCACCCTTATCCACAATGTAAAGTAATTCACACAGCCTCTTCCCTCTTCTCTCTGTGAGGAGCAGCAGGTTCAGCTTTCAGAACAAAGTCACAAAAAACTAAATATGTCGTGTAGAAATAGATGTATTTATTTTCTTCTCAAGAGAGTACCAGAATGTGTATTTTATGTTAGTATTGAAAAAAATCTCCTGGGGGAGAATCCCCCCAGACCCCCCTGCAGGGGTTGGGTCTTCAGCATGCCTTTCACCTGAGGGGAAATTGCAGGATTGGCTCCAGGTTGCCCTTTTTATTTACTACAAGACAAATGTGCCTTTTTATTTCATACAGTTCAATTTTGATTGAGACAGGGAAATAATCTAAACCTCACGCGTGGCGTTTCACTGTCAAGGGGGGCGATATAGCGTGTATGTAATTACATTGCAAATACTGACTTGAGCCCCACCACTGTATGGGTTAGCCCTACCATAGATTACCCAACAAAAATACTCTGGAGCCGCCACTGCCGAAGACACTACACTACCCATAATCCTCAACTATCGTTTGGGACTACAACATCCGCTTTGCTTGACAAACCCCGTGATTAGTCCCTTATAATATACAACCCTTGAATCAGACTTTAGTTACACCTGAGCAGTGGCGACTGGTCATTAGGGGCAGGTGGGGCACAGCCCCACCTAGTGTCAGCAGAAAGTATTACAAATAATGATTACAAAAATGCAAAAAAATAAATAAAAAAATATATAAAATATATTTTAAGATCATGTTTAATCATCTGATTCGTCTGTACATTGCTGTTTTAGTCTTTGTTCTTCTCATTAGTGTGTCTACAGTCACAGTGTGTGCCTATTGAGCTGTTTAGAGCCATGTGGGACAAAACCTGATTATGCCCCTTCCTCTCGCTGTGAAGTAAACGATGACTGTAAAAACTACACTGCGCATGCTCAGAGTATTTTGTAATGTAATGTGTGTGGCAAAAAAATAATGACCAGAGGGGCACGGAGCTACCATCCCCACCATACGTCATCTCAAATCATTCAGAGCTGATTGGCTGTAAGTACGTGTGCCGCGAAAAGTGTGGTGTGTGAAGAGGAGACGAGAGAGCTGCAGTGGCGCGTCCTAAAACCAGGAAGTAAGCACAAAAAAGCAATGAGATTTCTCCAGAGGATTTTAGAAAATAGCTCGAAATAAGATCTGTGGGAAACGTACCTGTTAGATAAATGCACGTTTTGATTAGCCGGATAACATCCACATGTCTACCCTACTTTTATAATTTTTTTATCATAAATCTATGGATTAGATTTATGATAGTCTTTTGAAACTACAAGAACATAAGGAGGACTTTTACAAAAAAGTAATAGAAATGTTTGTCCAGAAGGATAGGCAAATGGACTTCATCTTCAAGTCAAGGTAAGACCGCCATTTTATTGAAAATGGGATCTTACTAAGAGAGAACAATTCAATATTTAAATGATAAAATTACATTTTTTGGGTATCCTTTTGTTGAACTGTCTGTTTAAAATTAATCGAAGCATCAGACAAAAAAAGCTTTTGAAAATAATATTATATTTTGGTTTAGGTCAAAATATAATATTTGTAAACCTGAAGAGTCAGTGCCAGTGCCTCACCAGCCATGAACCTCACTGCACGTCACTGCAGAAGCTTATATATAGACATCTAAGTTTTTTGTGCCCCACCACTTTTGTACATATAAAAACGCCACTGCACCTGAGTAAAATTCAGGGAAGGTGATTGTCAAGTGCCAAAATAAACTATGCAATATATTAGACGTTAAGTACTTTGTCAGGCTTATTATTTATCTCTAGATACCCCCAACGTTTTTTTCTTATTCAAAAGAAGACCTTAACTTAAAGTATTCTTTAATGTTTAAATAAAGCCTTATTAATTTGTCTGTTTTGTACATCCTCCTATTAATATCTTTGGACGTCCTGCACTGAACTGTTTTATTGTAGAGATCACTATTTCTATCATTGACCTTCTACTTTCCCCCTATTTTGTATGTAGGCTACTCTTAATATTTAAATGTTTTCATCAAATATAACATATTCAATCAAAAAAATCAATAACGTGCTTTAACCACTAGGCGGTGCGGGTTAAAAAACTGTCAAGTTTACAGTGTTAACACAATAAATTATACTTTATGAAGATGTTAAAAATAACACACAGCATACAATGCCATGTATTATTAGTGTAGGACAGTTATGTATGTATAACATCTGAAGATGTGTAGTTTTATTCATGTTTTCACATAATTTGACAGGATATTGCTATATTATTTATACACATTAATATCTGACCAATTAATGTTGTGTAATTAACAAGGATAAACTGATGTGTTTTAGTGGATGAGTATGGCAGATATCACTGTGTAATCATTTGACAGTGAGGGGAATACGGTTTTATTATGAAAACTTTGAGACCGGAAATACTGTTTTCACCCCGTGAGGGTTGACGCTAACTTTACATAGGGGGAAAGACATACACGTTCTCCTGACGAGACCTCAAATAATCTTCGTAATATCTATCATATCCTACACATCCACTGGACGTGGATTCTAAAAGTACAATATACACTTCTCGCTAGAAATCAAATCAAAAAGCATTTTAATGGCCAAACTATCCTACAATTTATGATTATGAGAGGGTTGTTTGTGAATACACGACCCTCCGGAGCGTTTGCGATTGCGGCAAATTGTTGTTTCTTACACGACCACTAGAGATGCTAAACTTTAAAACGTGACTATAGGTCGTAATAAGTGCTGAACAATCGACGTATTTGGTCGTATGAGTTGGAGGACTTGTTGCAGCTTAACTAGTGAGAATTGCATCGTTTTTCTCATTCATTTCAATGGGAATTGGAATTTGAACTAGTTCAAATGCCAATTTCTGATATCAGTAATTCAATTGTTGATATCAGAAATACAATTTGGACTAGTTCAAAATCCTTTTTTGATATCAGGAATTCAATTGTTACTAGTTATAATTCAATTTGTATTTATAACTAGTTACAATTGAATTCCTGATATAAAAAAAATTATTTTGAACTAGTTCAAATTGTATTTCTGATATCAACAATTGGCATTTCAACTAGTTGAAATTGAATTCTTGATATCAGAAATAGGTATTTTTACTAGTTCAAATGTAATTGTAGTAACATTTGAATGACTGATATCAGAAATTGGCCTTTGAACTAGTTCAAATTCCAACTCCCATTGAAATGAATGAGAAAAACGATGCAAATCTCACTAGTTAAAATCGCATTTCTGATATCAGGAATTCGCATTCTAACTAGTTAAAATTCAATTTTTGATATCAGAAATAAACCTTATCACTAATAAGAATTGCATTTTTGATATCAAGAATTTGCATTCTTACTAGTAAGAATTGATTTGTTGATATCCTCCAGAAATGAATAAAAACTAAATTGGCTTGCCATACACTTTAGGCTATTAACATTAGGTTATAAATTTAAAAAACAAGGTCGCATGGCTTAGTAGTCTGATTTAGTCAAATAAAAGTTTCAGAAGATCACCAGTGGGGTATTTACTGACGTATTTAATGTGCTAGGATAAACACAAATTTGTCTTAAGCTTGTGACAATCACAAAGGTTATTTCAGGCATCTTACGGAAAGTACATAAAAAAAAACAGGGAACAAGAAGGGGGTAAAATGCTGAATCAATTCCAGGTTTTAGGACACACTTTTATATGACCTGCTGATGTGTCATTGTATACTTTGTTTTGTGAGTCAGTTTGGGCAGAGTGACAGTAACAGAGCCAAGAAGGACATCTGTACGCTGCTGGGAGTCACCGCTCTGCTGGGCATTACCTGGGGCCTGGTCTTCTTCTCCTTTGGCTACCTGACCACGCCTGGCCTCTACCTCTTCTGCATCCTCAACTCACTGCAAGGTCTGCACCACCTGATCCAACACACTCTCACTCCCTAAGCGTCCAGGAGCGACGCTTGGTCAGGGTCCCGTGGCGTCCAGTTGTGACGCGCCGAGGCTCCTTCAGCTTCATAAACGGACGCAAAGAACTTTCAACTGATTGCAATGTATTCCCATCGGCGGCGGTATTTGACGCTTAGGGAAGCACGGCATTCGTTTGTGTCGGAGGCTGTTAAAGGCAAAGTGAGCGTCCATTCCCATTGGATAACGGAGAATTGTACACCCGGAAGTAAGTATTCCCCTTACTGTCGATTGATTTGACAGTGATATCTCCACTACTCATCAACTCAAAAACACCAGATTATCCTTGTTAATTAAACGACATTGATAGGTTTTAGTGTGTGTACAATGCTTTTGTCACGTTTTCCCCTTCAATTCTGAGAAACAAGTCGTTTTCTATGAGTTTTGGATGGCCGAAGACATTACATTACCCACAATCCTCTGTAGCAACCATAGACTGTATACAAAAATTAAATAATACATTATTCCGAGTGTGCTTGCTTTTCTCTTTGAAAGTCATCACATAACGGCATTGTAATACACGTTTCGGCTGCATTAAATATGACATATCTGCCGTAGTTAACTCTGCCCTGATGACAAGACTTCTAGACAAACAGGAACTGCCGCCAAAACTGAAAACTTGACGTGGATCTTAAATATATAAGCAATTAAACAACATCTTACATTTCTTTTCACACAATACGTCTCCTTGCAGTATCAACACTAATTCGGCTGACTTTTATATTTGATCCAATTGGTAGATAGGCTGTATTTACGCCATAACCGTGCACAGCTGATAGAAAGGGACACCTACTGGTTAAAGCACGTTATTGCATTTTATAATTTTATTATTAGATATTAATAGGAGGATGGGCAAAACAGACAAACTAATAAGGCTTTATTTAAACATTAAAGAATACTTTAGGTTAAGGTCTTCTTTTGAATAAGAAAAAAGCTTTGGGGGTATAGAAGATGAATATGGAGGGATGAAACCCTCTTTGATGGTCACACATGCAGAGCACACAGCACACACAGTGACATTTGTATCTACAGATAAATATTAAGCCTGACAAAGTACTTAACGTCTAATATATTGCTTTCCTGCAATGTTAACTATGTTGAAGCACTTATTTTAACTGATATTATACATATGTATTATACTCTTATAAGATGTATGTAGATAGTATAAGAAATGTGCAGAATATGACAATGTAATGGTGGAGGTACACACATATTGATAGATGTCTTGTAATGCACTGTTGAGGAACCTGCGACCCAAGTTTTTCATTCATTGCATAACTACACCGTAGTTGTGTATAATATGATATGTCAATAAACCTTAGAAAATCTTGAAATCTTGAATGGGATGTGCAAAATAGTCATTATATACAGTCTTTAATTAACTATTAGTAGAGAATAACGACGAGTAAAGAATATACTTTATAAGGATCCTATTAATATCTAATAATAAAATTATAAAATGCAATAACGTGCTTTAACCAGTAGGTGTCCCTTTCTATCAGCTGTGCACCGTTATGGTGTAAATACAGCCTATCTACCAATTGGATCAAATATAAAAGTCAGCCGAATTAGTGTTGATACTGCAAGGAGACGTATTGTGTGAAAAGAAATGTAAGATGTTGTTTAATTGCTTATATATTTAAGATCCACGTCAAGTTTTCAGTTTTGGCGGCAGTTCCTGTTTGTCTAGAAGTCTTGTCATCAGGGCTCTATAAATAGAGTTAACTACGGCAGATATGTAATATTTAATGCAGCCGAAACGTGTATTACAATGCCGTTATGTGATGACTTTCAAAGAGAAAAGCAAGCACACTCGGAATAATGTATTATTTAATTTTTGTATACAGTCTATGGTTGCTACAGAGGATTGTGGGTAATGTCATGTCTTCGGCCATCCAAAACTCATAGAAAACGACTTGTTTCTCAGAATTGAAGGGGAAAACGTGACAAAAGCATTGTACACACACTAAAACCTATCAATGTCGTTTAATTAACAAGGATAATCTGGTGTTTTTGAGTTGATGAGTAGTGGAGATATCACTGTCAAATCAATCGACAGTAAGGGGAATACTTACTTCCGGGTGTACAATTCTCCGTTATCCAATGGGAATGGACGCTCACATTGCCTTTAACAGCCTCCGACACAAACGGATGCCGTGCTTCCCTAAGCGTCAAATACCGCCGCGATGGGAATACATTGCAATCAGTTGAAAGCTCTTTGCGTCCGTTTATGAAGCTGAAGGAGCCTCGGCGCGTCACAACTGGACCCCACGGGACCCTGACCAAGCGTCGCTCCTGGACGCTTAGGGAGTGAGAGTGTGTTACCTGATCATGTTCAGCACATGTTAATATTGGTTGTATATTTCAATGACACTACTCGTTGTTTCTGCAAAGTTGATCCTCTTGGTTTGACTATTAGGATGGGGAACTAAAGCTGAACATTAGGGGCGTTCACACCAAGTACTTTTCCCACAATAGTTCATGAGAACTTTAGTTCATGAGAGCTCTTTTAGTTCTGATGAACTAAAGCAGATCGCGTTCACACCAAAATGAGTTCCTGGGGGTGGATTAGGCAAATGAGCCGCTGACGTCACTTCTTCTTCTTCTGCTTTGGGTTTACTGGCAGGCCGCAAACAACTTCACGGCGAGTACAGTAGGTGGCGGTATGCACCTTAAAGTTGCAATTCGCCAAAAAACCGAGCGAAGAAGGAAAAAAAAAACCTCCGCTTCCGCTGTATGCTTCTGTTTACCTTCCGACCTCAGACACGGTATGGAGTTGACGTTTTGGTGCTCGTGTTATACAGCTTCGTAACTGAGTTATTTAATCCAATAACTCAGCCACAAATACAAATACAGATCGACCATTCAAATGCAATAGAAATGCTGAGTCGGAGGCGAAGGCGGTTAAGAAGCCTTAACAAAAGGATTGGACGACGAAAAGCACACGCTATGGACATGTTTCGCCGTAGGACAGCTGAGGACCGTTATCACGCCCAAAAAACAGCAATGGTACGTTCATTAAATCACATTAATACTATCTAATGTAGGATTTATGGAGTTATGTAGGGCTAATTTGTGTCTTTGTATGTGTTCCAGATATACGAATACTACGGAACGCGTCGTGTCCCGCGCTCTCTCTGGGTGAACAATAGAACATCGGCCTGGTGGGAGAAGGTGGTGCCAACGTACACCAATGTGCAGTGGATCAAAGATTTCCGAATGTCCAAGGGCTCTTTTCAACTCCTCTGTATTCGCCTGGAAGCAACGTTGGGGAGACGCAACCTAAAAAAATCGCCTGGCACCATGAGCGGCTGGTCATCCGATTCCTGGGCCTTGTGTGAATGCAGCAGCCGTTCGTCATGCATCTCCTTGGCACGCAGGTCCTCATTCCCCTTGCTGACCATGGCACGGCGGTCCATCGCCATGATGGTGTCAAGGAAGCTGTCATCGCGGGCCCACTTTCCTAAGGTGAAATATGCAAGATACAAGATCAGTTTAATCGCAACAACGAGACAACATTGTCCAACATTGGACATGGTGCAGGCAGGGACAGTGTACAAAATGCAGGTGTAAAGTAGAAGATAAGATCGGAGCAAATAATATCAAATAAAAAATAAATATCAAAGTGCCCTTATTTATTGTTTTGTGCTTAATGTATGCTTGAACTTTGTTTTATAGGGATTAGTGGACATCAGTTAGATGTGTAACCTTCTTTCAAGGCCAGAGTAGTTACAGTGCAAGTGGATTGACATCTAACATAACATGGCTGAGTACAATTATAACAATCAATAAAAAAAAGGAAAAATAAATAGAATTTCAATTACATTTCTACTTAAATGTGCAAAAATATTAGAACATCAGTCTTTGTGGCATGCAGGTAATCAACTGTTTAAGCTTTTACCATTAACATGTAGAATGAATGTTGCAAATGACTTGAAATTATAGCAACTACAATGTATTGTTAGAGGTAGCATTATGTCCAGCTAGCATGCTAATTGCTAACGTTATATTATCGTTTTATCCCGGAGGGGAAAACTAGTTTCTAATCCTGAGAGAAACACCTCGCCTGAATCACACGATTAGTGCCATGAGTTCGTGAAGCAAATTACAGAACATTGCACACTTATTCACAAGTCAAAACGTGTTCATAGCGGGGACGGCTGAGAATAGCTAGCTAGCTAGATGTTGTTAGCCAGCTTGGACCTATGATAGCAAGTTCTAGCATGGCTAGCTCGATCTACTGAGCAAATAAAAGTACATCTAAGACCAGTATTGTGCAGATTAAAACAGTGCAGTGCATGTATTTTATTTTACCTTCGTAGTCGTCCCGACATGACTTTGCCAGGTCTGCTAACTTTGCTGAGCCACGGAAACTGCATTCAGTAGAAGCTTCTGAATGCGGCGCTTCGCGTCCTCCGAGTAAATCGCCAGAAGCGCCGACACATCCTCATCACTCCACCGCTCCGATGATTTATTTAGTGTTGCTATAATAACTGCTTTCACAAAAGTAATCTCTTCGGGTGCGCTGGCCGAAGCGAGCAAATACAATGAACACAAAAAAAAATTCAGAGTCAAACGGCCGTGGTTTGCATTCCGCACAGCCAATCAGACGTACAAACTATTTTCTCCCGACAGTCCCTGCTCTCTAGCAGGGACGGAAAAGCGGGTCAGACGAACTAATTTGAACTACTTTAGTTCCTGGGGCTTTTTGGTGTGAACGCAAATATATCGTAGTTCTGATGAACTATTGTGGGAAAAGTACTCCAAAGTACTCCGGTGTGAACGCGCCTATAGTTGATACACATGTTAACTCCCAATCTAACGTGGTTAAGAGCAGGGACCGTAATGTTTGATCCATGCCAGACCATACAGGGCAATTTGGGAATGGAAACACGTGTGCAGCTGCATGAAGAACTTCACGATAAACTGTGTATCTTTAGATTACTTTCAGCAACAAAATATTGTGCATATGAGACAATGTATTGATATTTTATGTGTAATGGATATTGGTCTGACATGTAGAATATTTGTATATTGACAAACAGTTACATGACAAAGTTATGAAGTGTATCAGGGTATTTGCATGTTTTGCATGATCCTCTCACTTTTTCGTCACTTATTTGACTCAGGTTTATTCATCTTCCTGTGGTTCGTGATGTCTCTGAGAAGGAATGGACAGCAATCTACAACTAGTGTAACACCCAGCACCAATACCTAAGCCTCATCCAACACATCAAGACTTTTATTTATTTTTTATGTCTCCTCCATACCTAGCAAAAGCATTTTTCATACTTCCATTCTGTCGCAAATATTTGATCATGACAAAAACTTGCAAGCTACTCACAGATAAGCACAATCTAAATTTGAACCATGACATTTCCCGCTGTCATGTTTATGCCCTTTGCATTTTGATTTCCTCCTCTGAACAACATTCAGAATAGCAGTTGTCTTTTTCCCAGGTTGTCAAATACTGACACTTTGTAACGCCGCTCAGCGTTTAATACCCACACCCATAGCTGCTTTCCCCCCCCACCCATGCATGACTGTAGTGGTATGAAGGGGTTGCCACCCATGTTTGAGCGCACAGATTTTGCCAAGCAGCTTTTAGTACAGTTTTATTTTGTTGGTGAATGCTCTTGCAGGTAGTAAAAGCAGTGCATGGCACCCTTAGTACAAAAATGTCTTCCATTTTTGTAAAGCACTTTGAATTGCCTTGTGTTGAAAGGTGCTATATAAATAAACTTGCCTTGCCTTGCCTTGCCTTGCCTTAAGTGTTTGTATCAGCACCATGCTTACAAAATGTGAATTCATGTAAACCAATCCACAACAATAATAGGTCAGACAACAGCTCACTTTAACTCTGTCCGCGTAGAGAAGTGACTAATCTTACTATATATTATGCACGTAGGAAAACTTATAACATACTTAACCAACATCACATATTTCACCCATTTTTACATTACATAAATTACTGCTAATTTAACCCAAACAATTAACCTTTTTCTTTTAACATCACCAAGTAGTGTTGTTGCCTAATCCAAAGTAACACCAAGGGTACACAGTGAGTTACAAAGAGACTGCAAAGCATTCATGTGATGAGACCACGTTGGTTATTTCTCCATTCCACTAACCCTAACCCTAAATGTACAATACGAAATAGGGTCCAGAAGAAAACCCAGAATAAGCAAATGCAGTGGCTCTCCTGGAGTTCTCCAGAGGTTTAAGAAACAATTGCAAATAGTTTTTATGCCTCCAGACACACATCCACTTTTTCCACGTTGTGTCCAAAGGCAAATATTTATACACAGATCTGAGTCTGATCTGGCTTTGATTGGGTGCAGTGAGACAGCAGAGATTCTCTAAGAGTGTATGTCTGGTGGCCTTATCCTACAGATAAAATATATTGTATTTAAAATAGGCTACTGATGTTCATCATGTCTATATATGTATATATTAAAATATTTGTCATGCTCTTCACAGTGTCAGCATGTATGTATATATCTGGTCATATTGTGGTTATGCTATGCAGTTTTTTTAACATTCACTACTTCCATAAAGGCTGAGACACACGTGTAAACCTGGAAGCCTTCAGTGGTTTTCCATGAGGTTATTCTACATGAAATAACATGACTGTTGAAACACCTGGTGTACTGTAGCAGTGGAATTTAGACTGTGACATCATACATGAAACAAACTCCCCTTCAGTAACGTTATTGCACTATTTGCATAAAACAAATACATCCAGTAGCCGAACACAAGTACTATTGTTGGGACATTAAGCTAATCATTAGAATACCTCTCCGGAATGGTTCACAAGCGAGTCTGCTTCATACCGGTCAATTCAGAGGAAACGAGAACTTGTCCCATGTCCACAGAGTAATACTGTAAGTACCTATTTCATTATCTTTTCTTCATTGGGCACTTTGGGTATTAAGATATTTTGTAGTTGTTTGTCAAAGTTGAAAGATGAAATACAGAAACAGTTTATGTAAATGTTGGTAAAACTATTGTAACTAGAAAAATAGGACATTCAAAATATAGGTTTAGGACTTCAAATGTCCCTTATGATGGAACTTGTTACTGTAATGTTACTCTATTAAGCCCTTGATATTAGGTGACACTATAAAAAGCTATTGCGCTGTTATTATTTGTACTTGTTTACATTAAATGTTGTGTTTAATGTTCTGGTGTTACCATTATGAGAATTGACACAATATTTTCTCTGTTTTTAGGAGAAATATGAGGGAAAAAATTTATTTAGAAAAACGGAATTCACTTTTTGCTTTAATTAGTCCAAAAACTACATAACAGTTAAAACCAAGTACAATTCTTTGATTTAGTGGTGATCTGTTTGTTTTTTTCTCCGTTCTGAAGCCATAGACAGAACAGTGAAAGAACACCAAGGGTTGTGGATTGACTTACTGCTGATTTACACTGAATATATTGGCATTCAAATGTCAATTATTTGTATTTGTTGTTTTTTTGTCACAGAGAAAGTAAGATGGTTCCCTTACTGCTGTTACTGCTGCTGCCTCAATCTCAATCTCTTGCTGACCAAGGTATGAAAGACAGGTTCATTATTCTAGGTTTTATTCACCAAAGAACATTTTGAAATTGGTTTTTAAAAAATTAGTGTTCAGCTATTTTTGTGTTTGTTTTCTATTTATTAAATAGAAAATATTATGGTCATAACAGCCTTCAAATAGCACACAGCTATGGCCGTATGCAGAATTGTATAAATACTAGAGGCCAAAATCAGGCTGCTAGGGGGGTTCAGAGGCATACCCCCCAAAAAAGGATGGATTTCCCTGCTCTAGAGATGTCCTTTTTATGACATTTGGAAGGGAACAATTGGATAGCATATACAGCTCTGGAACAAATTAAGAGACCACCCCTTATTTTTTCTTCAATCTCTACATGTATGGCATTCAATTCCAGTGTCTGTTGAATTCCAACACAGATAAATGTTGTCAGTAGTTCATAGAATAAAATAATAAAATGTAAATTTTACTCAAACACATACCTATAAATAGTAAAACCAGAGGAACTGATAATGCTGCAGTGGTCTCAGATTCAAAACCATGTCAGTGGACTGCAGCAAAAATGATTTTTGCAATGCATCAGAATCAGGTTTAAAGGTGCAATGAACGTTCCACATTATAATCTAGACATGCAAAGAGGCTAACATTTCAGAAAATGAATATTGTTTAAATGTAGTTAATTGGACCATGCACACAGTGGGTTAAGTAGCACAGCAGAATACAACAGAACTGAGCTCAAAGCCACATGATTGTCCTTCTAGTAGAGGACTAAAATTAAATGTACCTCTTCATCTTTTCAATGTACCCTTATCACTAGTCACTCTACTGTGTAAAAAACATGACATTGTGCTTCATAAATTAATTTGAAGCATAGATACATTAGATAGATACAACTTTTTAGGGATTACATTTGAAAATAAGAAACTAAACTCCCTGTGCTCCAAAGGGTAAGAACAACTAAAGATAGGATTTCAGGGGTTTGCAGCGTTGTGATGACAACAGTATTACAATAATATGCAACGGTGTAAAGTAAATACATTTATTTACTCAAGTAACATGTTGAGGTACTTTACATGAGTACTTCCATTTTCTGCAACTTTGTACTTCTGCCCCACTGCAATTTAGAGGTACATATTTGTCTTCATTACATGTATTTATTAAATTCACAATTTACACAGCAGTAAATACAATCATTACATTTAGTTCCACCTTTCCCAGCTATGACAAACACATTAATTTAACAATAATTATAATCAATACATATGAAATATATTATTCTGGTATGGGCCAATCTGCATACTTAATACTTTCACTTTTGGTACTTTAAGTTTATTTTTGATGGTTATACTGTTGTACCTGAGTAACATTTTGAACGCAGAACTTTTACTCGTAACAGAGTATTCCTATACTCTTGTATTTCTACTTTTACTTAAGTAGGAGAATACATCTTCCACCTCTGGTAAAAAGTAAGGAGAACACTTGCCAAGCCAAATTCAAGCCATCCATTTGTTTGGATTGATATTGCCATAAGCGTAAAAAAGGATCTCTCTGGAGCTTTTTTTAATTTTACCCCAAAACACAATATAAATATAAAATGACAATTTTAAAATGTGGTTGCCTATGTTTTATTTTTCATACAGTAAAACAACTACTTGCGTATTAAAAAATACAAAAAGGCATATCTTAGGTGTTGTCATAAGGAACAGGAAGATAAAGTGAGTTTCTTGTGTTTTCAGTTTGTCTCAACATTTCAAACGGAGTCATGCACGTTACGTTGACGGGTGCTCGTGTTGAGGATGGGCAGACATCAGTGAACTGCACATACAATAATACTTCCTGCATCTTCCTCTGCGAGTCCCAGCAGAATATGTGTTTTAATGGATCATCTCATTGTTTGGATGCGATAGTGACAAACGAGACAGATCCTCCCAGAATACAGTTTAACCTAACATCATGTAAGTGCAGTCTCAAGCAGACCGCTCACTCAGAACGAAGCACACATACTGTGTGTAGTGTTTCTTGATCTTACATGAAGACCATTTCTCTTTTGTTACCGTTTTTTTTAATGTTATGTTTAAATATATGCAAATGAGACATTGTCTTAATACATATTTGACTATTTGCAATTCTTACAATTAGAATTTTGGAACCTTAATCCAAACATTGGATAAAGCCAGGTTCCAAATAATATATTTGTATTTGTTGACATATTAGAAGGAAAGGTTTTTTACAGTAAAATAAATTAAATTGAAAAGCCTGCATGTTATTTAGATTGTAGCAGAGATGTCTCCCTCAAATTAGGAAAACAACACTAGGAGAACACTGCCTTTAAAGATTATGTTATATGCCAGTTGATTACTTAAAGGGGCCCTATTATGCTTTTGAGTGTTTTCCTTTTCCTGTATTCTATAGGTTTTAGTGCATGTAAAGGCTCTGCAAAGGCTAAAATCCCTGTGGTCCCTCCAGAGGGAGTGTCTTCACTCTCCCCCTCCTGCCTGAAACTCCTCCATTGGACTCCTTTGTTTACTTCCGTAACATAATGACATCACTATTAAACAGTCGTGCTTCTATTGCTATTGCTATCACGTACAATAACACATTGTACGTGATAGGCTTGGGGGCAGACAGAGGGTGAAAAGAGGTGCTGCAGCACAGGCAGTATGAGAAAAATAAAGAGCTTTTTGACCATTAAAGCTTGTAAACACGGCACAGTAGAAGCACTAAATCCACATATGAACCTGAACCTGAACATTTGCATAATAGGGCCCCTTTAAAATGCAGGTGGAATGTGTTGTTCCCAGCCTCCTGCTCCAAAGAAATAGAGGGCAGCATTGGACCTTTACTACTGGATCCATACAATATTAATGTGTAGTTATCAGTTATTAACAACAGTCGTACTACTACTACTTAACAGCAGGGTAAGAATATGTACAATCCTATTGTACAAACAAATTTAATTTCCACAAAATGTTATGTTTAAATATGCAATAAGGCATTATCCAACTCTTATTTTTGCTGAAATAAGGAGGAATCTTCAGATGTGACAGACAAAGTTAGTTATAATATATAATAAACAACTTTGGAATGCATTCCATTTGTAGGAAAGAAGACATGGTATGAATAGAAACATCTCAAAGACTCAAAATTTAGCGATGTATGAAAAAACAGTGTTTTAACCTGTAGTGTCTCTTGCTTTGACTCTGACTCACCTCTCCCTTCGCAGATATGATGTGCAATCTGTACCCATGCATAAACAATTTCGTCTTGCCATTGATGAATAAGCTAAGTGGAGCAAGGTCTGACCAGAAGGAAATGATGACACTCTTCTACGTGAGGGATTCATGCCCACTGCTCTTCGGTTCCAACAGTGAAGTCAAGAAAGCCTATATAAGGTGAGACCCTGTGTGTGCTCTGGACACAAACTCATTCATTATCTCTGGCAGGACTAAACCTGGGGGGGGGGGGGGGTCATGTTTTTGGTTGTGCTTGCATGTGTGTGCATCTATCTCAGCCTAATATCTTTAGTGTGTACACTTTTCTGTTATACTGTGTGTAGCCATGGCTCTAGGTATGATGACAATGTCTGTCTTTCAACATAATTGATCCGGATATATTTCCTAGAGGGTAAAAAGAGGACAGAAAAAATAACATTTTGCCACACGGTCCTATACCTGCAGTCACAAACATGACAAGTTATAGTAATGACTAGTAAAAGCGCTATATTGGCATCTTCCTCTCATGTTAGCTCAACACAAGGATGCAAAGAGAGGGGCGAGGATGGATACATTGTATTCATCAAAGGGATATCCCCATGAATTGTATTAATAATATCACCTCAGCTGTTGTATATTTAAAGAAGTAGTAGTTTATAAGATAACCTCCTGATGTTGATTGCTGATAAGAGATACATTGATAAC